GCCCCGCCCCGTCCTGTTGTCCAGCCCCGCCCCGCTGTCCAGCCCCGCCCCGCCGTCCAGCCCCGCCCCGCCCCGCCCCGCTCCTCCTGTCCCGCCCCCTCCTGGTACCCAGCAGACGCGCTGCGGTGGACCCTGGCGCCATGGGGACAGCCTCGTCCCTTGTGAGTCCCGCGGGCGGAGAAGTGATCGAAGACACTTACGGGGCGGGCGGCGGCGAGGCCTGCGAGATCCCGGTAGAGGTGAAGCCCAAGGCCCGCCTGCTGCGCAACTCGTTCCGCCGGGGCGCGGGGGTGGCGGCGGCGGCCGGGCCCGGGTCGCTGCCCCGCGCGGCGGGCAGCGGCGGGCTACTGGGCGCCAGCTTCAAGTCCACCGGCTCGTCGGTGCCGGAGCTGGAGTACTCAGCGGCCGAGTACGAGCGGCTCAAGAAAGAGTACGAGATCTTCCGGGTCAGCAAGAACCAGGAGTTGTTGTCCATGGGCCGCCGCGAGGCCAAGCTGGACACCGAGAACAAGCGGCTGCGGGCCGAGCTGCAGGTAACGCGGGCGCGCACCCGAGGCGGCCGGGACGCTGGGGAAACTGAGACCCAGAGCGACCTGCCCACGCTGTGCAGCAGATTGATGGCACTGCTAGGTTGCACCCTGGACGCCTGACCCGTCCCTTGTCCACCGTGTCCCCTCTCCGAATGACATTATTTAAAAAGTGGAACAGAAACTTTCCTTCATTTCGAGGGGGCATTCTTTTCGTGAGTCCAAAATGATTTCTTTTCAGCTGTGCTTCCCCCCTTTCGATTTGTGGTTCATTCATTCAGACACCTTAAAGTAATTAGCTAGGGAGTGCCCTGAAGCCTCAAATGCCAATCCCCAGGAAGTAGGCTCTGAAGCGTGCACACCAAGACTGGTGGCATATGTTGGAGAAACTACACATTCCTCCTGGTCGTGCTACCCTGCCGCCAGTTTTACATACTGCCAAGGTGGGCTCATGGCCCATTTGTGAAGTTCCAGAGCTGCTGGGTTTTAATGATCTTGACGTGAATTATTCTGGACGCCTCCTGGTTTTCACCATCCAACTGCTGTGGTTGCAAATCTTACCTGAATGTAATTGGAGCCCCTTAGTCCATATGATTATTAATTTGCTCAGAGCAGTTTTTGCAGCCTCCTTTGAAACAGATACATTTTAATTCATTGATAGTATATAAAGCAAGAGATTATTGCCTGAGCAGAATTCTGAGACATTATGCCATCTCTTTTGGACTCCTCTGAAGGTTATTGTGTTGTTTATTTACTCTACTGTGATTGAGACTTCTAGGCAGCTACAGAGATCCTGGGCTTATCACAGCAGGAATTAAATAAATACCTCAGATTCATTTATGTAAAAGAAGGAAGCCCCTTTTCTAGTCTGGGTATTCTTCATCGCGTTTTCTTATTTCACCCCTTCATTAGCCATTATATGTTATAGAGTTAGCATGTTATCTGCGAAGATATACTTGGCATTAGTCTGTATCAGTTTCCCACTGGATGGATTTAATGCACTTGAGTACATAAAGTGAACTTGTTTATTTCAGATATCTGATTTCATGTGTCCAGGCCACTGCCCAGTGGATACTGCATGTTGAAAATCACTGTGAGTTGACAGGTAGAAAAGAAGGCCAAACTAAACAGGGCAGAGTGTGGAGAGGGTTGACAAATGTCACAGTTCCAGATTACTCCTGTTACCAATCCTGATTCCTTGTGTAACCCATTTGGTTCCTTTCTCACCTATGTAGGCATGAAAAACTCTTTCATATTTATTTTAGTCAGTCAGTCAGTCAGACATTTTTACTGGGAGCCTGCAGTATATCAGGCACTATGAAGGGCTCAGGGTATAATAATGACTAAGATATAGTGCCAAGGAGTGCATAGACTCCCAGAATTAACTGTCGTTCAAGTTAAGCCTTACAAGGTGTATTTTTTTTAAAGATAGAAAAACTGAGCGATAGGGAATTTAAGAGCCAGAGCAGTATTTTTTTTAAGTATTAATTTCCATTGTTGAAGTGTCTTATTATAGTTCAGGCATGTTTGCATTTGTTAATTATGTATTTGAATAAAATGGCAACATGAAATTCTTGATAACTGAAAAAATAGTAAATTATTAAACTTTAAGCTATGTAATATAAAGGTACAAATATAAAATTTGGGAGAGAGATTATTTTTGAGAAGAAATAACAAGGTAAATTATTCCAGGCACTCCAGAAAACTTATCAGAAGATACTTCGGGAAAAAGAAAGTGCTTTAGAAGCAAAATACCAAGCAATGGAGAGAGCAGCTACATTTGAACATGACAGAGATAAAGTTAAGCGGCAATTCAAGGTAAATTCCCTACATTTTTAATCTCAGAATGACACAGAATAAAAACAATGTATTTTTTAAAGTTTCTAGAATACTGCAATGAATAAACAGAAATAAATTATGTAGAATTTTCATAAGAACTAGTGTTGAGCACTTTTTCATTTTTGAGTTGCACGTGGTATAACAAAGAAAAGGTATAAAAATGAACATTGTAATAGAGATTTTTTAAAAGGAAAGCATTTCTTTTTGGAGAAAGGAAAATTGGGGGGATGTTGTGTGTAGGAAGACATTACTGGTATTTAGTGGCAGGAAGACAGATTTGCTGAACATCATGCAGGGTACATGAAAGGCCCACACCACACACATCCTTTCTTCCAGAATTTCAGTGGGCTCCAGTTGTGAAACAGGGCAAGCTCCTGGGGCATTTACCCTAAAACAGGAGATGGGGGACCAAGTGAATATTGATTTTATGAATGAAACCTTTTTTTCCCCTTAAAAGTTGATGGTACAACCTTTGGATTATGAAAAAGATTTCAAAATTAAAATTCTCCTTTTTAAAGATTTTTAGAGAGACCAAAGAAAATGAAATTCAGGACTTATTGAGGGCCAAGCGAGAGCTGGAGAGCAAACTTCAGAGGCTACAGGCTCAGGGGATCCAAGTATTTGATCCTGGGGAGTCTGATTCAGATGACAACTGTACAGATATTACTGGTAAATTCAATTCCTATTAATAATATGTTGAGCGTTCATCATAGCTAGAGTGGTATTATAGAGCAAACTTTGAATTCTGCTATATTCCTTTTATTTGTCTATATTAGCTTAGATCACTGTTACAAATAGAGTTGCACTTTTTCCTGCGTCAATGTGTCTCTCTCCCCTTCTTGAAATACGTGAAGTCAGGGGCTGAGTTCCTTCTGCCATGCTGCTTTGCCAGCTCTACCCCATACCTGTTTCTTTTCTGGTCTGAGATAGCTGCTGCATGTCCTCCATCACATCTGTGTTTTAGCCAAGGAATGAAGGAAAGGGAGAACACATTCCTATTTTTTTGAAGACAATCTGAAAGATGCACACATCACTTCTGCTCAAGTCCCATTGGGCAGAACTACACCTAGAAGGATTGGAAAATGTAATTGACAGCCAGGCAGACGTGTCCCACTCAAGTGTGAGGCTCTGTTACTAAAGGCAGAAGGGGAGAGTGGCTATTGGAACTAGTATTCTCTGAAACATTATTTTCCCATATGACGATATATTCTTCACAATTATCATTTAGAATACCTGTATTATATGTCCCTAGGTGGGAAGCTATTAAAAAGTTTTTGTTTTATAATTAAACATATAAAATATATATTTCTGGCAATAAGGCCTAAAATCACAGAATGAAAGAGTGCACCATGTTCCAAGCAAATATTAATACATTTTGACTAATATTGAAAAAAGGGAAAGATTCTATTTTAAATGTAGTCACTCTCCCACTTATAAAGGACTATAAAATTATATTCTTACAAACTGATGCATTTTGGAGTAAAATATAGTAACCAACAATTCCTTTTTATTATTTATTTTTTTGAAGGGGGTACTATCAGGGATTGAACTCAGGGGCACTCAACCTAAGCCATAGCCCCAGTTTTATTTTTTGTATTTTATTTAGAGGTAGGGTCTCACTGAATTGCTTAGTGCCTTGCTTTAGCTGAGGCTGGCTTTGAACTCCTGCCTCAGCCTCCAGAGCTGCTGGGATTACAGGCATGTGCCACTGCACCCGGCTGATAATTCCAATCTGACCAGCACCCTGGGACTTTTATTATTAACTTTTGAGAAAAAGATGAAGTGATTCTAACTGGCCAAGAACAACTGAGAAAATAACTTTTGCTGTCACATTAGTTGAGTGATTGTTTCAGTATCAGCATGTTCAAATGCACAGCATTTCAAAACTCTTATAATTGTCTTGGGAAGTTAACAAAAACAATGTAATATTTATTTTAGGTCTTTTTGGGGGGGGCGGGGTTCTAGGGGTTGAACCCAGGGGCACTCTACCACTGAGCTACATCCCCAACCCTTTTTATTTTTAGACAGAGTCCTGCTAAATTGCTGAGGCTGGCTTCAAACTTCAGATACTCCTGCCTCAAACTCAGGAGTCACTGGGATTGTGGTGTGTGTCACCACACCCAGCCTAGAGATTTAGGCCAAACATCAGTTTATTTACAGTTAGTCAAGGATGCTATGTAGATATTCTGGCCACATGGTTTATTAGAAAATCATCCACATGTTCACAAGTAACTGTTGACTCAGACATTAATTCTGTTGTTCTTGGAGGTTAGAATTTATGTCCTAAAAAAATCACAAAGATTAGTTATTAGTGCACAAATAGCAGCCTGCCTCTGCAGTTCTTTCTTTTACATTTTAGCTCATATCTATGATGTACAGTTAAAAGAATGATTTATAGAATTTTGTATGGAGTTAACTGCCCTTTTATTAAAATTCCTTTGTTTATTGTATTCTTATTTCTTCTTTCCTTTCTAATCTCCTCCTTGAATTTGAGATGATAACCAGAACCTTAGGACTATGTCAAAAGTTGGTAGCAAAGTACTTTCAAAATCATTTGAATATTTATTGTATATGGAATTTTGTAGTGTATTTAAAGTTACAAATCCTGTTGAATGTATGTGCTGAGTTTTTGAACAGTAGGTAACTTGGACTGTACAACCTAAAGATCTCTTGCCATGACAGCTGCTGGAACCCAGTGTGAATACTGGAGTGGTGGGGCCTTGGGCAGTGAGCCCTCCATAGGGAGCCTGATCCAGCTTCAACAGTCCTTCAGAGGGCCGGAGTTCGCCCACAGTTCCATAGATGTGGAGGGACCCTTTGCAAACGTCAACAGAGGTAACACACACCGCTTGCCAATTTCTTGCCTAGTGGCGTTGATTTCATATTCTGTAATCTTGTGCTAAGACCACTGCCACCAACAGAGCATGAAATTTGTGTTCTGAGTACCTTCCATTGACACTGTACCTAACCAGGGTGATGAGGTTACATAATTCATATTGGGATCAGATGATGCTGCAGCCAGCCAGGCTAACCAGCTTCTAGTTACTATGCTTCTGGTCTGAATGCTCAGGTGATTTGTTTAATAGCAAGAGTCTGATGCTTATTAACTGAGAAACAATAGGATTTAGTCTTTCCCTCTGTTTCTTTGATGATGTAGAAAGTTAGAGCCTGGAACAAAATACACAAAGCCCTACTAGGTCATATAGTATTCTTAGTCAGGAGAACGTGCTTATTGTTTTCATATAATCTAATGTCCAAAAAGTCTATAAAGTCTATTTACAATTTCAGTATCAGAGCAGACTTAAGAAGGTTTGTAAGTAGCTCCACTCTTTTTTTCTAAAAACTATAAAATTTTTTCTCTATTTGCAAAATGAAAATCATTTTTTTTTAATTGTGCTTTTTGAATTATCCAAATATGTCTCAAAATTTTCATTCTCACTCAATAACATAAATTACTTTTCATTTTTATATTATTCTTAAAAATGTTCTTTATGACTCAATAGAATGAGAATAAGAAAGTCCAATGATAGGTCATCCTGGGAGTGCAGGCTCCCCTCAAGTAGTGGAGTAATCAGACAGCTCCGTAAGGAAGTTCTGGAAAATCTGACTAGAATCCCCGTACACCAGGGAAGACCACTAGTGACATTTATTGCTTCAAGTCCCAGGAAGGAATTTGAAGTTCGAGAACTAATTGCCTTTTATGTCATTCTACAAGCCATCTCAGTCTCAACTTGTGAGATCAGATTCCATTCTATGTGCCTGTTATGCCTTCTGTTAATTTTTGCTTGAACTTGTGGAAATTTTCTTTTCAGATGACTGGGATATCGCTGTAGCTAGTTTATTACAGGTGACTCCCTTATTTTCACATTCTCTATGGAGTAACACTGTCAGATGTTACCTCATTTACACAGAAGAAACCCAGCCTGAAATGGATCTTTTCCTGAAGGTGAGGATACCTATAAAAACTCTGTATACACTGCTTTAAAACACACGTTGATATTATACCCTATTTAGGATACCGTTGCCTCTGAACCACATGCCTTGCTGGATATTAGATAGTATGTCTTAAAGAACTGGAAGCCTCTTGGACTTTTCTTCAGAGAAAACATTGTTCTATATTAGATGCAAAGAAAGATAGCTGTTGAATTAAGGGTTTTGATTTTTAGCCTTCCGGGAGTGACTTTCTTAGGGAAGGAACTAAGACAGGAAAGGAGGATTATAATTAGCTATAATTAGTTTTGAATACCATGTTAAGGTGTTGGAGCTTTATGTTGTTCTACATTTTATTGTGTATTTTCTCTTTTTTTTTTTACTTAATTGATTTTATTTTTTTTAAATACACAACAGCAGAATGCATTACAATTCTTATTACACATATAGAGCACAATTTTTCATATCTTTGTAATAAAGTGTGTTCACGCCAATACATGTACTTTTTTGCATTATAATTCTTATTACACATATATACCACAATTTTTTATATCTCTGTATATAAAGTAGATTGACACCCAATTTGTGTCTTCATACATGTATTTTGGACAATGATGTCCATCACATTCCACCATCCTTGCTATTCTCCACAGTGTTTAAGACCTTCATAGATCACACCTACTTTAGTTACATCTGCCAGCTCTATCTTTTGAATCTCTTGCAGGTAGTAACAAATTTAATTCTTGACATCGTTTTTAATTTTTCAAGGCAGCCCTTGGAGTTTTTCTAAGACAGGGATCTGCAAACTGTACCCTGTAGGCCAAATCTGGCCTTCTGCCTGTTTTCACATAATCCAGAGCTAAGATTGGTTTTCACATTTTTAAATTGCTTTAAAAAAAATCATAGGAAGAGTAATATTTCATGACTTGAAAGTTATATGAAATCCAAATTTTAATGTCTATAAATAAAGTTTTATTGTACATTACGAGACTTATTCATATATATGCCATCTCTAGCTGCACTACAAGGACATTTCAATGGCAGAGCAAATTGTGACAAGAACCAAATAGGCTGCAAAGATCCCTGCTAAAATGCCAAGTTGTCAAGCTATAATTATTTTTGTAAAACTGTTTGCCATCGTGACTCTGTAGAAAAAGTTTTGTCTGCCACTATTCCAAGTGAATTTTAAGTAAATCCACAGACCAAACCTACTGTATTTACATCCCCCAGATTGTTCGTTAATAAATACATTTAGCTTTCCTTTGTAGTATTACTCAATTTTGGTAAAAATATTTTAAAGCTCAGAGTTTCCATTCAGTAAATTGCATATAGGTTATTCCCAAGGACGTTTCTGAGGGTGTTACTGATTTTTTCCATGATAATCATCTTTACTTAGTAACCTAATTTATTAAAGACCAACATGTTTCTAGCATATTTCTGTTTGCTTTGGTGTTCTAATATATCAAGCTTGAGACTTTGTGTTATATAGATCTGTTGATCAATATTTTGTATTCTTTAGAACAATAAAACCAAAATTGTTCACGATAATAATCACAAAAAGAAAGAAGCACCGACGCAAAATAGCCTAATGCTTTCTCCTGTTATGATCATGAAATAAATCATTTTCTAAGCTAGAGAATAGCTTGGTGGTTAAGCTATTATTATTTATGTTTTAGAGAGAAATTGGCTTTTTCTCTTTAGGATTTTTTTTTAAATGTGATTCATTATTACTCCTAGAATTTTGTGATAGAAAATACCTGCCATAACCTGTTACAGAGCATTATATTTAAAGCCATATGACTCTTACTATATTTTAAGTTAAATACATTATGATTTTATATATATCATAATTTGTTTTTAGGACTATTCACCTAAACTTAAAAGAATGTGCGAGACAATGGGATATTTTTTCCATGCTGTTTATTTTCCAATAGACGTTGAAAATCAGTACCTCACTATAAGAAAATGGGAAATTGAGAAGAGTTCCTTAGTTATTTTATTCATTCACTCAACTTTACCAAGGTAAGATGGAAAAATCTGTAATTTACTATATGCATTAATTGTATATAGGATTGAAATTGCAAATGAACTTCAAAGATAGGTTGTAATTACATTCTTTAAAATCAAAAATAATATATGAAATTTAATAAGTTCCAAAACTATTTCACACTTACCTAAAATAAAGAATTAAAATTTTTAGACTATTAGACTTTTCTAATAGGTTGTATGAACAACATCTTTAATATAAAGATCATTTTAATCAGGACTTAGTAAGTTACATCCTGGTGGCCAAATTCAGCTGGGTGCCTGCCCTTGAAAACAAAGTTTTATTGGAACACAGCCATGTTTTTTTCACTATATACTTTCTGTGGCTGCTTTTCTACTGTAACAGGAAAGTTCAGTAGTTGTAACAGAAAATTTATGTCCTACAAAGCATGACATGTTGACTTTATGGCCTTTTACAGAAAAAGTTGGTGATCCGTGATTTCAGTAATCATTATTAACCTTTCTTTCTTTGGATACTATTTCAGAAGTTTATGGATTTTATATGATACACACACCTTGAACAATGGTGTACTTGTTGAATGATAATTGAAATGCATTGAGGAGCTTTATTACTTGAATAAATCCAGCAAAGTGAACAGTCTCCTTATAATGTGAATGTAAGCATGCTAATGAATCTTGCCTGCAAATAAAGATTTTTTATCAGTTAGATATGTAGATAAAAGACAAATAAGCTTACTGAGAGGTTAATAATTTTTATTTCTAGATTTGTTGTCTGATTGAATTTAACCCTTCAAAGGATTTCTCTTTTTTGACTGAGGACAAACTCTGACTTTTTTTACTGTGTACAGAAATATGTGGGATCTAAAGTTTGACAAGAGTTTCCCTGCTGTATAACTAACTCATCATTAGTCCTAAGACTCTGTTAAGTGGGTCAAGGGTGGTGGCACATGCCTGTAATCTCAATGACTTGGGAGTCTGAAGCAGGCGGATCACAAGTTCAAGGCCAGCCTCAGCAACTTAACAAGGCCCTAAGAAATTTAGTCAGACCCTGTCTCAAAATAAAAAGTTAAAAAAAAAAAAAGGGCTGGGGATGTGGCTCAGTGGTTGAGCACCTCTGGATTTAATCCCTAGTACCAAAAAAAAAAGACTGCCTGCTTAGTGGCCAGGCAGATGGCAGCTGGCTGGTCAATGAGCCTTCACCTGGAGTATGTTAGGAGTCCTTCCACTTGATTGCCTTCAGTGAGTTTTATTACTATCTACCCCTTTCCCTTTTCTTCCCTGTTTTCAAATTTACTAAGGTTCTATCATGTTTCCTTACTTAATATTGAGTAATATTTTATCTTATTGGTGCTGTGTCATTTGTTTTACATTATTTTTCTTTAATTCCTATCTTTAATCCTTGAAACCATCTTATTTTTCTTTTCTTTTTTTAGAGATTTTTTTTAAATTGATATTATTTTTTAAAATACATGACAGCGGAATGCATTACAATTCTTATTACACATATAGAGCACAATATTTCATATCTTTGTATATATTGTTTTTTCTTTACCTAAAGGAATTTGTTAATAGAATATTTTGATACTTTTAACATTTATCTTTATCTTTCTAATCTTAAACTCTTCTTAATGTCCCCCATTTCTTTCATATTTTATTATTTCTGCTTGGCAGATTCATATATCTCCTTTAACTAAAATTACATTTATTTACATTTTGAAACGTTATTCTTGTCAAAGAACAAGAATTTTTAATTTCTCAGTCTTTTCTTAGCCTCTGCTTCACCTTTATTTTACTTAGATTTTTTTCTTACTCTGTTTGTTTATTATTTTATTTCATCATTTGTTTCTTCCAAGGCGTGGCAGTCAAGATGAGATCCACACCACAAGCAGGGACTCTTGAGGCCTTCATTTCTCTCAGATTGCTCATTCACCTCTCCCTATGGATCCTTCCTCCTTCCCAAAAGGTGAATCTAGAAATACTACTCCTGAACCACTTGGAATCTTGATGGAGAAATGCTTTTCTAACCAATAATTATATCTTGTGTCCAGATGGTACCCACAGAGTTACTTAAAGATACTGTTCAGTGGCTTCTCACAACATTCAGTCATCATTAAAAAAATAAATAAATAAAAGTCTGTCTAGTGAGGAACACAGGAGCCATGCCTTTCCATTGTCCCTCTCCAGAGAAGGGAAATGGACAGACTTCTGACACTGCTGATCCATGTGTTTCTTCTTTCATTAATTTGACCTGCTTTCCTCTGTGACAGAATCATAGGAGAAATCTCCTAACGTGAAGGATGTGAACTGAAAAAGGGAGACTCCAGGAGGGACTGGCCAATAGGAATATTTTAGATAAAGGTCTAGGATATTCTTTGCTCTTGATTCTTTGCCCTCCTTCATTGTGGCAAAACCCTTGTTGGGCAGCTAGGCTAATGAAGAATTCTTGATCATAAGTGGAAGAGAAGGCCGCTTTTCCTTTTGGAAGCAGCCTCTGGTCCTGGTGGCACAGAGGGACTACTGCACCTGGTTTTCTTCAGTGCATCATTATCTCTCAAGGGAGAGGAGCTCCCTCTTGGGAGCCTTCAGGGTAATCACATCACCTTTCACGACTTCTTAGGCTCTACTCTTGGTTTCACTCAGTTCTTAGTAACAATTTGCCTGTAGAGTTTTTCTTACAGAATTTAGTGAAGTGGGAGCTCCACTCTTGTGATTGAGCTTTCTTCATTCCTCGTGGTCCCCACTTCCAACTCCTAATGGCCTCACGTAGTGGCATCTCCTCTCTCAGCTCCTTCCCTCTGCGTCTGTCTGTACAACCCACTTTCTTACTGGATCCTGCAATGAAGATTATCAGCATGTCAGCTGGCCTTCCATACTCTCTGACTTCAGCACATGATCTGTTTATTTTTATCTGTACCATCTACTTCCCTTCCACCAGATGCCACCAAATCCCAGAGACCATAGCATTTTACCTAAACCCCTGTATCAATTTTGTGGGGCCTGCTTTTCAAATACAAACATGCATCTGAACAGAAGGCCCACTCTTTGGCATTCATCTGGGCCACAGATTTTTTTTTTTAACCAAAAACAAAAAGAAATGGGCCATTTAAATTCCAAACTTCTGTAAAACATGGCCAGAATGATTTCAACAATGAAAATTTCTGTGGATTGGTACATTGGGTTGGCCCAGAAACATCTAGTAGGATATTATTTTTTTCTGTTTTATCTTTGAGACTAGTTTCTGCATTTGCAAATTCTGAATCTTTTACTAGCTCCCATGCCCTACATACACACACACACACACACACACACACACACACACCAATATGCCTCTCTAGACAACTTTAAAACTTTTAGAAAGGGGAATTCGCTGCAATGTTCCTGTGGCGTATAAAACACTAGTTGTTTCATTAGTTCTAGAATTTTTTAGTAACTTTTGTAAACAATATAATTATGGTTCCCTGTAGCAAAGTTTATTTTAAAAAAATAAAACAACTTTCCCATAGTCAAGGTTTTTGCTAGTCATTTTTCCTCACCCATCTACCCCTAGGTCTTTCTCATAGTAGGTATTGGACATATTGAGGCCACTTATTAAATGAGAAAAGGCTAAAGGACTGGAGAAGAAAAAATATCTTGAGCCTTTAGAGATGATAATATTTGTGTTTAAACTTAGAAAATATAAATTAGTCAATGGAATTTTGTTTTCCATGTATTTGCAAAGTCTCATGAGTCTGGTTCCACCATTTTGAGCCATGTTTAACAGAATTTTTGAGAATTTTGTGAGGTTTAAAAAATAAAGTTGCTTAAGCTTTACAATTTAATTCATAATCTATCATACTGACTCTAATTGTTGGCTAAGGAACACATTGTATTTTAAGAACAAGCTATAACAGAGTTTCATCAGAGAATTAAGGACTTAGAGTAGCTTTTAGAAGCTTCACTGGGCTGCAGCTTCTCTGGCCACTTGTCACTGGAGTAGGTTGTTTTACTGTTTGCTGCCACCGTGCAGTGTAGCACCAGAAATGCCAATTTCCCATCTAGCCTTTTATTGGAAGACTGTGAAGAAGCCTTTCTGAAAAACCCTGAAGGAAAACCACGGTTAATTTATCACCGTCTGGAGGATGGGAAAATCAGTTCCGACTCTGTCCAGCGATTGATCGACCAAGTTTCTAACCTCAACAAGGCCAACAAAGCCAAGGTAAAAGTCACAGGGTTTCTTTTTCAGAAAATGCTTGACAGAGGGAAGAGCCAGAGCAAAGGTCATGAGGTGGGCGTGAGCCTGGAGTGTCTGAAGACTGGGAGGAAGCCAGCTAGGCCAGAGCAGAGTAAAGGGGCGGGGAGCAGGAGAGATGGCCCAGTTGATCCTCAAGAGTCCTGACCACCATTTTAAGAGCTTGGTTTTGTTCCCTTGAAATAAGACGGGGAGCCACTGGAAGATTTTAAGAAGAAGAATATCAGGGCCTGATGCGATCCTGGACAAGTAATCTCTTTGGCCACTTTGTGGAAAATAGACAGTAGTTTGCAGCATAGTGGGCAGAGTCTGAGAGCTGTGGTACCATCCAGGTGAGAGGTGCTAGTGGCTCAGACCAGAGTGGTGTTAGAGAGGTGATGAGGCGGGCAAACCTGTGTACTTTGGGTTTTATCACACCACTGGTCACACTAAATCCCTTGTGTGACTTTAGACAAGTTTTTTTTTTTTTAAATGCCTTAGTTTCCTCATCTGTAAAATGAGGATAATAATAGTTTCTCCCTTATAATGTTATTGAGGATAAGCGAGGACAGATATGTTAAGGCCTAGAATATTTCCTGACACAGCACCACCACCTCTTCCTGCTGTTGCTGTGTTTGTTGTTACTGTGAACTTTTTTCTTTTTCCCAGTTCATTGATCACTCAGGAGATCCTGCAGAGGGAGTATATAAAACTTATATTTGTGTGGAAAAGATCATTAAACAGGTAAATATGCATCTTCTGTAAGATTTCACCTAAAATATTTTAAGACTGTTTTCCATAAAGTTGAGTTTTCCAGAGAAAACCACCTGTTTGTTCTTCTGAGAACAGACCCCAAGGAAAGCACTGTTGTTTTGTTGGGAGTACATCCTGTGGTGTGATCATGGCGTTACTTAGGACCAGATGCTCTTACCACTCATCGGTCTCACAGATGATTGACAGTTCATACCTGTTAAGTAGAAAACATATTACAAAAGTGCAAGTTAAAAGGTACATATTTGAGATGGGCATGGTGGCACAAACCTGTAATCCCAGAGATTCGGGAAGCTGAAATTGGAAGATTGTAAGTTCGAAGTCAGCCTCAGTAACTTACTGAGACCCTGTCTCAAAATTTAAGAAATAAATAATTAAAAGGGCTGGGGATGTAGCTTAGTGGTAAAGCACCCTTTGGTTAGATCCCCAGTACCAAAAAAAAAATAAATAAAATAGGTGTTTGAAGTAAAATGTGCAATTTACTCAATAGAGAGGCTCCTTAGATTCTGTGTGCACTTTGGATTTTTACATATTAGAAAAGTCCTCAAATTTTCCCACCACATTATCCCTAACAGCAGAGAGAGGTTCAAGTATCCCTTAAGGAAGCTGAGAACATGGACCAGAGAGGTGTCTGGAGCTTAAGGTTTTTATGAAATTTCATGTATCATCTTAAAAATATATTTGCCTTATATAGTCTGTTTGATAGTATACCTGTTTATTTTTAATATTAAAAATATTGTCAAAATTACTTATTAACAAAGTACCAATAAATATATAATAAAAGATGCCCCATCTTCAAGTAAAATGAACACAAGAGGAAGATGTACCATGTTTAGTGTGTAGTTATCCATCCCTCTAGACACCTCTAGGGAACTAGAGAGTCTATTTGAGAAGTAAGAGGTTAGAATACCTTTTCTAATTAATTTGCATTACAGATATGAAAATTTATTATCAGAGAAAGAGTGAGCTCAAACCTATTTTGCATGATGTCATCTAATATAAAGATTGTCATTATAAATTTTTATATTTTCAACAATCTTGCAAATTTTAGGACAGATGAAAAAATGAATTGAGCAAAATGAACCTGGCCATATTTACTATCTTTAATGATTGAAGAACAATATGTTTTCAGTGATCTAATATAAAGATATGACAGCACAGATACTTGATATCAAAAAACTCCATCTAGGTAATTAAATTTGGGGGAGAGAGGTACTCAGGGACACTCAACCACTGAGCCATATCCCCAGACCTATTTTGTATTTTATTTAGAGACAGGATCTCACTGAGTTGCTTAGTACCTCGCCTTTGCTGAGGCTGGCTTTGATCTCCTAATCCTCCTGCCTCAGCCTCCCAAGCCACTAAAATTACAGGTGTGCACTACCGCAGCCGGCAGTAATTAAATGTTTATGGCATATTTATTAAGTGATAGCACAACCTTTAAAATTGTTCACTAGCAGATATAACCACAAAAAAGTAGCATTTTTCAGAAAGCAAATTTCATCAGAGTCCAGTATCCCTCTAGCTTTATTTTTAGGAAGAAGAGATCTTTGTTTTTGTTATTTTAATATTTTTATTTGTCTTCCTTATTTTTAAATTATCATTTATGGTTATAACTTTATGCTCGCAGGTATTATATTAAAGCCGTAAGTTTGGACATCCCTCCTCAGCAGCTTAAGACCACTTGGGGCCTGTGTGCTCACTCCTGCTGCAAGGTCTTTGCCTCTCATTCATTTTCTCCTTTGTTTCTGTGTGCTTGTTCCTTGTGTTCAGGATATACTGGGCTTTGAGAACACAGACCTGGAGACTAAGGATTTGGGAAGTGATGATTCCCTTCCAGAAGAAGATGATTTTGGGGATGTTCTGTGGGACATACATGATGAACAAGAGCAAATGGAAACCTTTCAGCAGGCTTCTAATTCAGCCCATGAGTTAGGATTTGAAAAAGTAAGCATTTGGAGTATTGTTCCAGCAAAGATTAGTCACCACTAAAAGGCTGTGTTATCATTATATTTCATCTAAATATAATCAAGGTTTGTGATTGGTTAGTAGTCTGCCGTCATAGCGTGATTATGAAAGATGTGTGAGATTCAAGTAAACTTATAAGCACCAAGCAATTCTGGTTATATATTAGAATTTATGAATTCATGGTATCACCATCTACAACTCACCTGGGCTGGGTGTAGCATAGCTAGGAAACTTGATTAGAATAGTAAGGCTCTTCTTCCAATTTAAAGGAATGAGAGTATCAGACATTCAGAAAGCAGAGTGCAGTTGTTCATGCAATAGGTAAATCAGTCCTTTAGTGATCTAATCAGCATCCTAAATATCTAAAAAATTAATAGAATTTCATGTGTACAAACAAAGGTGTCTAAGTTAAAAAAATACTTAATATTTAAAATTAATGTTAGAATAATATGTTAAAGAATATGATGGAAGCTAATATTAACATCAGTATTTTTTATTTATATATGACAGTGGAATGCATTACAATTCTTACTACACATATAGAGCACAATTTTTCATATCTCTGGTTGTATACAAAGTATATTCACACCAATTCATGTCTTTATACATGTACTTTGGATAATAATGTCCATCACATTCCACCATCATTTCTAACCCCATGTCCCCTCCCTTCCCCTCCCACCCCTCTGCCCTATCTAGAGTTCGTCTATTCCTCCCATGCATCCCCTCCCTACCCCATGATGAATCAGCCTCCTTATATCAGAGAAAACATTCGGCATTTGTTTTAGGGAGGATTGGCTAACTTCACTTAGCATTATCTTCTTTAAGTTTGTACTATCTGTATTTATGTCCTGTTCCATCATTTCCTAACTGGAATTTATTTGGTCAATCACCTGACCGCACTAGACATGATTTGTCTGTACAATGAGAATAACTACTAGTATCTACTTCATTGGGCAGTTGTAAAGTTATTAAGGCAGATGATGCCCATAAAGCACTTAGCATAATACCAGGCATAAGACAAATGTTAAATTAGTATTTTATAAGACAGGTACTGCTGTTGTTAATTATATACAAACTGAGGTTCTGATTATGGTTTGACCAAGAGTGCACAGGGAGTAGATTGCAGATCTGGGATTTGAACCTGGGTCTTCTGGCTCCAAATCCTTTGTTTTTTCTTCTACAACAAGGGATCTTAACTTGAGAACCATGGCTCTATAATTGAGCTTTCTGTGGAACCTTAGCTAAGTGGTTAGGATTTATGAGATAGTAAATCTATGAAGTCCTTCCTTTCTTCCTTCAGATGCATCATTACTAGCAGAATTATTTGATTCAATGTATTCTATATCTAGATAGACAAGCAGAAAAATTAATTGTAAAGCTATTCCAAGTAATCCTTTCTTGTAGTTCCTAGAGAAACTTTGTAGCCTAAAGCCATATGCTCTTATTGCAGGTTTTAAAAAATTTCATCAGCTATCATTTAGGCCACTTAATGAAAATCCAAACCCCAAGATAACTTTGGAAACTACCCAAGCACTTTGATAAGTACTGTAATAATTTGGTTTGCTGAGTGCATCCTTTAAGCTCTGTACCAGTTTTGAGTGTCTGAGAGAAACTCAATTTCAGAAAGCTCTGCAGCATCCTACGCTAACCTGATTCCCTGGGGCAAATTAGGAGACCCAAAAAGGCCCCAGAAGAAACCTGCTCTTGTATAGAGCTATTCTCACCAGTCCCTGGAAACTAAGAAGGTCTCCAGCACATTGCTGGTGCCAACTATTGAAGATAAGGGATAGTCATCCTGTAAAGCAGGTGTTGATTTTTATGATGAAGAGATCCAACATGCCTGACGGGCCTTCAAGGCCTTCTGTGGCACCTTGAATGGTTCAGGGATCCAGTGTGACAGAGTGACCTCCCTGCAGTGTTCTGCAAAGCATCTGAATTGCAAAACCCACATGGATTGAATTTTTTTTTTTTTTTCCTTCACTCATCAATTGACAGCAACATTATGGGAGGAGAAATTGGGGCCCATTCTTAGTTTGCTACTTTAAGTGTATTTTGGGAATAAAAATAAGCCATTGTGAGGGTGCCTCAACTGACAGTGGAGTTTTCTGATGGCAGCTTGTTCCAGTATTTTCATTGATAATCAGAAGTTGACTGGAATTCTCAGAGGCATGCACTTCCTCACAATTTAAATTCATTATTGTTTCTAGTATTATCAACGCCTCAATGATCTGGTGGCAGCACCAGCCCCGATTCCACCCCTTCTGGTGTCTGGAGGACCAGGTTCTGGAAAGTCCCTTCTTTTATCAAAGTGGTATGATACAGTCCAGTTAAATCGTACTTATCTTCATCACTTGAATTACGGAGGTCCTTCAACAGAACGCACTGCATGTCTGCCTTGCTGCATGGCCAATACTAACCACTAACAAAGCACAGAGGAGTGAAATGATAGCTTTATGCAGTGTAGAGAATTTGGATGTCAGAGAGAAAATACAGAAGGAAAAACAAGTAGGAAGTGTGAGCATTCGTGATTGTGAACACAAATTACATTGGTGAGAGATAAAGAAGTACAGGAGTAAGGTGTGTCAGTATGGCGGGGAACTAGGTAAATTAAAGAGGGATGCATCTTTATTTTTCAGTTATTGGCTTCATCTTAAAAGTTCCATAGGACTTGAAAATATTTGAGTGAAGACTAAGACTATAGCCAGGTGCAGCGGGTCATGCCAGTAATTCTAGCAGCTCAGGAGGCTAATGCAAGAGGATCTCAAGTTCAAGACCAGCTTTGGCAACTTAGCAAGGCCCTGTACAACTAGGTGAAACCCCATCACAAAATTTCTTTAAAAAGGGCTGGAAATGGAGCTCAGTGGTAAAGTACCCCTGGGATAAATCTCCAGTCTTTTGAAGATAGATTATTCAAAGCAAGATGAATTCTAAAAAGCATCAAAACTAAGGATAATCTTTACTGTGAATGCAGTTTAGTCTTCAAATTATAGACGAAGGTTCATATAAACTAATAAGCTTCTAAATTTCATTGTATTATTTTTAAACAAGTATTAAGAATATTTTCTTTTATTCATAATTATTATTTATATTGAAGAGTTAGCATATGGTTGATTCTTGTTTATTGCTCTATTATTTAAAGTTATCTTTGAAATATAGTATTTTTGTACCAAATAAATTTTCCTCAAATAGCATATTTCAAATTAAAAAATGTTACTTTTCTAACTTCAAATTAAACTATTTTAATGCTTCCTTTACTAATACCTTAACCTCTAATGTAAATATCAATTTGTGACTAAAATTAACCAATAATTTTTTCAAGTATATTTAAAATTTTGTAAAAATGAGGTAAAATCAGAATGCTATGTATTTATGTACAATTGACTAACTATGCGATTGCTGATAGTCAGCATTTACTGTCTAGTTTGCTGTGAATTCTTCTTTTGTTGAAGCAGAGGCACTGGTCAGTTTTTTAACAGTCCTGTTTTTCTTTCAGGATTCAGTTGCAGCAGAAGAATTCCCCGAACACACTGATCCTTTCTCATTTTGTGGGGAGGCCCATGTCCACCAGTTCAGAGTCCTCCTTGATCATTAAACGCCTGACGCTAAAGGTATAGCGTTCCACCTTTGGAATTCTCAGAATATTATTTAGATTCAGAAATCGTCAGGACTAAGGAGATGATGATGAATAACTTTTCAGCATTACAATATGAGCATTCCTAATCTGAAATCTGAAACACCAAAATTGGACACTTTTTGAGCACCAACATGACACCGTCAATGGAAAATTCCAAACCTGACCTCATGTGACCAATGGTCACAGTCACAAAACAGATGCACTAAAAATTTGTACAGAACCCCCTTCGGGCTGTGTGTAGAAAGTGTATATAAAACAGAAACACATTTGTCTTTAGATATGGGTCCCATTCCTAAGATATGTAAATGTCACTGTGCCTATGTAAATGTTCCAAAATCTGAAAAACACTGAAATCTGAAGCACTTCTGATACCAAGTACTTCTGATAAGGGATAGGCAACCTGGAGCCAGTTTTGGTTTTGTCCAAGGTTAAAAATAGTATTTAATCAGGTCCTCTTGGTGACTCAGTTGTGATATGAAAAGTAGGCACAGGAGCATTTCCACCAGCTGTGATCGGTGTGAACACCTTGTTTGTACCTGTCTTCGCCCTGTAGTTGATGCAGCACTCTTGGTCTGTGTCAGCACTAACTTTGGATCCCGCTAAGCTCCTGGAAGAATTTCCACGTTGGCTAGAGAAACTCTCCGCTCGTCATCAGGGCAGCATCATCATCGTTATTGATTCCATAGATCAAGTTCAGGTACTGTTTTCACTTTGTTACCTAGTTATATGAGCTTAAAGACAAAAATACCAGTGATGGCCCGAGCCAGTGTTTAAATTCTGTGTTTGTGATATGAAAATAATGCTGTTCCTTTTATTCCTGCTTCATTTCTAGGAAGAAAGCACTTGAATTTAAAAATAAATAAATAAAAGTATGAGTGCCAATAGACACTACTATCTTATTGGGAAGGACCAACTGAATTTAAATAATTAGCAAAAACTGTTTGTTTTACCATATTTTCAGGGCCTTGACATTTTCTTAAGTGTCCAAAATTCAGATCAGTGATAATTGTATTCTGCTACTTGTTCTTTAAAAAAATCTTAAATCATCCAAATATAAGACTTTTGTCCTTAATAATAAGAGAAACTTAATGAGAATTTCACTATATTGGGGAGTTATTGGATTGTTTGAAATATCTTGGTTAATAGATTGAATCTTGTTTTTGTATTTTTAAGCAAGTTGAGAAACACATGAAATGGCTGATAGACCCGCTGCCAGTGAACGTAAGAGTCATAGTTTCTGTGAACGTGGAAACTTGCCCTGCAGCATGGAGGTATGATGCTATCTTTAGTTTTTCAGATTACGTGAAATGTTTTAAGGGCAAACAAGGAATGATTTTTGGTATGTATTTGTGTTTTTCATGATTTTTATGTAAATAGCAGGATGAGTTCAGGAAAAAGACAAAGATCCTATTTATAGGGTTTGGAGGGAGGTGAGATTTGGGATGTAAAGGGAAAGGAGAAAACTTGGTGACTCTAAATTTCTTATTCAAGAAATTAAACAGCTGGGCTGGGGATGTGGCTCAAGTGGTAGCGTGCTCGCCTGGCATGCGTGCGGCCCGGGTTCGATCCTCAGCACCACATACAAACAAAGATGCTGTGTCCGCCGAGAACTAAAAAATAAATATTAAAAAATTCTCTCTCTCTCTCTCTCTCTCTAAAAAAAAAAGAAATTAAACAGCTGAACCTGGTGGTTCAATTATAATCCCAATGACTCCGGAGGCTGAGTCAGGAGGTGTTCAAGGCCAGCCTCAGCAATTTAGAGAGACACTGTCTCAAAAATCAAAAAGGGCTGAGGATGTGGCTCAGTTGTATGGTACACCTGGGTTTAATCCCCAGTACTGCACACACACACACACACACACACACACACACGCATATCAATTGATGGTGATTTTATGAACTAAAACAGAAAACACAAAGTACAGGCAAGTTTGTGGGGGAAAGGCATTGAATTCAGTTTTTAGACACAGCTAGTTTGAGTTACCACTTGTAGATCCAAGTAATGATGTCTAGTAGGCAGTTTAATTTATGGGAAAGGAAAAATGGGCAGCAGACCAGCAATAGTAGTCTAGACTCCTGTTATCTGGAAATGCAAGCTGGCTTTAGCAGCCCTAAAAAATAAAAAATAACAAATGACACAGGAATTGAATTTTGTGGAGTAGTGTTTCTCAACCTATTTCCCCCCCTAAGAAATCTCATAGAAATTTTTTTTCTAATCTCTGCTCCCTAAGAAAATACTGTGTATTACACATACACTATCTGTTTTTATATATAAGCAGATATGTATATGTATTTGTGCTTTGTACAAAACAATGAGATTTTTCTCACACCCAAAAAACAATTTTTGCTATCATATTGAAAATGAATATTGTAGCAGTTAAATTCCAGTCACTTTATAAGTACTTGTGGACAAAGACTGTGTTTTGTACTGCTCCCATAAGTACCAATGCCTCTGCTTAGTTTTACCAAAGGTACAGAACATAGAACTAGAGATGTTTTACCACTTAGTTGTCTAATATATATACTATTTATAGCATTCTGTGGTGATTAATTGCTGTAATGATATACATGTTAGAATAAATCAAAGTGATAGTTTTCCTTGATGTGATTAACAGAGATTAACTTCACTTATTTTATAAAAGCAGAATAAAAAAATCAATTTCCTTCATGGTTTTTAATTGTGCTGTGGGTAGATTACTGTTCTTGTTGAATGATTTGAATTTTACTTTTCTTCAAACCAAAGGTTGTGGCCTACACTTCATCTTGATCCTTTAAATCCAAAAGATGCAAAATCTATTATAATTGCAGAATGCCACTCTGTAGACATTAAACTGAGCAAAGAGCAGGTATGTATTTTTAATTTTGATACTGTTTTCACTCTGTGTCAGCCTTCCTATAAAATATCTTATATGAGACTTAAAATTCAATATGGGGGGCTGGGGATGTGGCTCAAGCGGTAGCGCGCTCACCTGGCATGAACAGGGTGCTGGATTCCATCCTCAGCACCACATAAAAATTAAAAAATAAAGATGTTGTGTCCACCAAAAACTAAAAATAAATAAATAAATAATTCAATATGAGGAGAGGTTTGTAGCTCAGTGGTACAGCGCTTGCCTAGAAGTGTGAGACCCTGGATTTGATCCTCAGCACCACATAAAAATAAATAAATAAAACAAAAGATATTGTGTCCATCTACAACTAAGAAGAAAAATTTAGAAAAAAAATTCAATATCGGGCTCACTGTTATAGAGAATTGAAATCTAGTAATTACTTTGGTAAATGCACTGATTCTTTAGTGACAGAGAAGAAGTGATGAAAAGATTCTGGTCTTAAGGAGTACTGTATAATATTAAGCAAGTATTTGAAAAGCAAAAACATGTTTTCACATTGGCTGCATCCTGACCATAGTCAGGGATCTTCTGCTGCCTGCAGTGATGTCCCCAAGGAGATGGCAGAAAAGTGCTATTTCTGCTGGGATACCTGCTCAGTAGTGATGACCGATGAGTTCCAGGGTGATTATTGTATTTTTGTTTTGTTTTTTTTGGGAAATTGGTGCAGGAGAAGAAACTAGAACGACATTGTCGTTCTGCTACAACTTGCAATGCCCTTTACATCACCCTTTTTGGCAAAATGATGGCACGGTAAGTGGTGGCCGTGTCCCAGTCTGTGTGTTTTGTGTTTGCTGCAGAGCATTTCCTCACCCTGTGAACTGATGGCTGCTCCTTAAACAATTTCCTGGGCCAGATTTCTGCTTATTCTAATGGTGACACTAACACTCTGTGACAATGTGGCTGACTGCTAAAGATTGAGTAGCCTGTGAATTATCAGAACTCAATGATAGATTTATCTAATTTTTATCACCCTAACCCTTTCCCCACTGGGTTTTAAAAATGAGGCCCTCTTCACCCTCATTTAGAGCCATCAGTGCTCTGTGCCACCTGCAGAAGCCCCTAGCTTTGGGAAAGTGGCACAAGACATCTGAGGTATAAGAATTGTTTCAGGTTTCCTGGAATATCAGGAGGTCAGTATGCAGGCAGGAATTTTTATTGTCTTGGTTCTCAAATCCTGATAAACATGTTGTCATACAGTAGTTCTTCTGTTCTAGTGTCCATTAGGAATCTAGCTGTAGGTAACCATTACAACATTTTACTACTTTTGTTTCTTCTTCAGGATAGCCTCTACCTTGTCTGTCCTCAGCCAGAGATTTTTTTAAAAAATAACTTTTTTGGCATTCATCACAATATATCATAATTCTAGTACAACTCTTATTTTCAAACACTGAATCTAGTACTCTTGTCTCTTAATTCCACATTCTCATCTTAAGCACCAAATTTGAATGAAAAAAAAATCTTCTGAAGCTTTAAATCTTGCATGACATTTCCACCGTCCTTCCCATGGTTCAAGTACAGCAGGAAATCTGCTTCCATGAACATCAGCAGTACAGTGAGTGCAGTTCAGAGTATAAGTCTTCTCACACAGATCTCATGGTATTTATTAGAATATACTTCAATAGGAACTAGGGACCATGTTTTTCTTTCCTTCATACATCTTCCTTTCTGAAAAAGAATTATTGGTATTTTAAAACAAACCCCTCTCTTTACTGATTTTCCTCAGTTTATTAGCCTAATGTTTTAAAAATTCTGGATCTACATAAATTTCATTTGCATGGCTAACTTACTAACAGTACTTTTGTTTCCTTCCCTGCATCTTGTATGTAGGTAGCTTCTGGACAATAAGAACCTGTCTTATTCAGTTTTATATTGCACAGCGCATAGAAATTTCTTGAAATGTAGGGAGTCTCAACCTATGTCTACTGGACTGAATTAAGTGGTATGCTAAAATAAACTTGGTGATTCTAGTAGCTTCATAAAATTAGCATTTTCTGTATTGTATTTTATTCAGTTCCTCTTATCAATTACAATACAAAAAAAAAAGAGAGATCCCATTGTCTTCACCCCAGATTTTTCACAGATGTTGGCTGTCTGTAAAGAATAAAATCTCTTCTCCATTCCAACAGTGCTGGGAGAGCAGGTGGTGTAGATAAGATCCTTCATGAGTGTCTCCGGTGCCAGGACACTGTTTCATTGTACAGGCTGGTTCTGCGCTCCATCAAGGAGTCCATGACAGATGACACGGACAAAGAGCTAATGAGACAGGTAGAGTGTGGTCAGCTTGGAAAAAAAGAAGGCTAGTTGGTCTTATTTATAATCAAACTGAAGTAGATAATTCTTTTCTAATTTGTACTTACATATGTTTGAAGCATATCCAGAAATGCTGGCAGCCATGCAGGCTTGCCGAAATTTCCATTTCCCCGATTATCTTTGGGGTTTCTCATCTTTTCACATTTATTTATTATCCTTCTTTCTTCTTATATGAATTTCCAGTTCCTGTACTTTACCAATGTTTTAGTTGGTTTTTTTTTTTTTTTTTTTTTTGTCATTCTCTTATTGGTCTGTAGGAGTTCTAAATAAATGCCTTTTTCCTGTTAGTGTCTTTTGTCTTTCAACTTTAGGATGTTATTCATTGAAAGTTTTATTTTGATAAAATCAAATTTACCTACAGTTTCCATTATGGTTTATTTAGGCTTTTTGTATCTTTTTAAAAAAATGCTTTGCTATTATTAAAGCATGTGTGTGTGTGTAATTTCCTTGAAAAGGTTTTATAGTTCTTGTGTAAATCCTTATCTCATGTGGATTTATTTTTGTTTATTGTGTGAGTTATTTTTTAATCTTTTGTCATAGAGATGGCTAACTAGTACATCTTTTCTGCTGATTTGGAATACTCCCTGACAAAAATCAAGCTCATGTATGAATGTCAATCTGTTTCTAGGCTCTTCTGGGCCATATTTGCCTATTCTTTGCCGTTATGACACTGTCTTAATTATTAGAACTTTAAGCTTTGATACTTAGTTGGGTAAATCCCCTTTTGTTATTCTTCTTTACAATGGTCTTAGCTAATTTGCTGCTATATATTTTTAGAATTGACTCCATGGAAACTCATTTTGGGATGTTAACTAGAATGGCATTGAATGTAGAGACTACCTTGGGGAATATGATTATAAAAGTCTTCCCTTGCATGGAAAGATGACTCTCCATTATTTAGTCATCTTCTTTAATGCCTTTCAATGTTTTATCTTCCTCTGCATAAAGATCCTACAAATCTATTAAGATTTGTTTATAAATACTTTATAATTAAAATAGTATTTTACTGTTTGTTAATACATTCAATTTTGATTTTTTGGAAATTTATTTTATATCTAACCACCTTGCTGAGCTCTTATAATTCAAAACTGGATCCATTTTTTGTGTGTGTGAATTTCCCAGCCTGGTGGCTCCTGGGGTTTTGACTTCTCATTTTACCATTGAGCTTCCTTGTATTCTTTCCATGTCTCATATTTTCCTCTAGTACCCTTTCACACAGAGAGTAGGTCCTAAAATTGATAGGCATTCTAGTTCCCATTCCTTGTCACACCCCAGGGTGGTGTGACCCCCAAGCTCTAAGTCACTGAGACTGCTGCTTCTGTCTCCTCTTCCTCCAGGGCAGCATCTCAGCACCTGCCCTTCTGATTTGGTTTCCTATTATATATTGTCTGATGTTCATAGGCATTTGTAGGAGCAGGGTTATTTTTCCTGCTGTCTTCTCAAATTAGAATTCTGTCATTAGTTTTAATAATCTATTTCATGTACTTCCAATTTTCACTGACTTTTTTCTATATATGTGTGATCTTTGGATGCCAGATTTTATACACCTTTATATACATATATTACCTTGTCCTTAATTAATGCCTTTTGGGCAGCATGTTTTATTGTAAGAACTCTGCTTCTTGATTTATTAAATCATTTGTAAGTATGGGTGAAATGTTAATAAGCTTAGAGGAATTAGAGAAAATATGACTGTTAGTTACTTATAAAGTGATTATTGTTTGTTTTTCTATCTAGATTCTCTGCCTTGTCAATGTTAGTCACAATGGCGTGAGTGAATCAGAATTGATGGAACTCTATCCTGAGATGTCCTGGGCTGTCTTGACCTCCCTTATTCACAGTTTACACAAAATGTGTTTGTTGACATATGGTTGTGGCTTGCTCAGGTTTCAACATCTCCAAGTAAGTGTTATTTCAAACATCTTTTAATAGTATTTTTTTACACATAGATGTCAATATGTCGCTCTATTTTATATTATACTGGGTTAGTTTGATGTTTCAGTTATAAAATAAAATTATTTTTTACAATAACTTTAGGTTAAAAATTATCCAATATTATGAGGCAACTCATATTTTGAAGGGTCATATCTCAAGATGCATTAATTTCTAGAGATTCACTGTACAATATTGTCCATAAAGTTAATGACACTGTATTATATACTTAAAATTTATTAAGAAGATAGATCTCATGTTAAGTGTTTTTACCATGATAAAAATAAAAATTTTTAAACTAGAAAGAAAGAAAACAAGTCACAAAAGACCAAAAATCAAAACAAAACAAAAAGGAGGTTTCTTTCTGGAAATGAAAAAAGGTTTTTTTTTTTTTTTTCAATTTTGTATTTTGTTGAATTGCTGGTATGGTTATATATGTGTCACGAGCTGGGGCTCAGAGTCAGACTCCCTTCCTAACCCAGCTCTTCAAGGCTTAGTGGCTGTCTGACTCTGGGCAAATCCTAAGCCCTTGGGAGACTTCCACTTTATCACAGAGTTATAAGGAGAAGTAGATGGTCCTTGGTCCTTGAGAGGTGGTAGATTTGATGTCTAGCACATCATAGTAAATCTTTAGGAACTGTGGATTCATATTCTTATCAATATGCAGCGCCACGCCTGATTTGTATATGTGTGCAAATGCAAATGAAGTCTTTCTTCTGAGTGTACTATGTTTATAGATGTGAAATGTTTGTAATTTCAGAGCCTTTCTCCTTTATTATGTATCCCTTGAATATAATTTAACTCTTTTTAGTAACTTTCCATCCACTTTTTTGGGATTTTTAAGATATTAACTAAAAGTTTGAACTAGATTTTTTGGAGTTCTTTTTTTATTTTTTTAAGACAGGGGGAGAGAGAGAGAGAATTCTTTAATATTTATTTTTTAGTTTTCAGTGGACACAACATCTTTATTTTATTTTTATGTGGTGCTGAGGATCGAACCCAGAGCCCCACGCATGCCAGGCGAGCACATTACTGCTTGAGCCACATCCCCAGCCCATGTTTGGAGTTCTTAAATAGTTGTATAGGAATTTTTACTCTAAATTTGTCACATAAATATACCCTGAATTTAAAAATATTCTACTGCCATTTCTATTATACAATGATAAAAGTATATTCCTTTTACAAATTAATTATTAGATATATAGTTACTTAACTTAAAATGCAGCATTTTCTGCCTAGGCCTGGGAAACAGTGAGACTGGAGTACATGGACGGTCCTGCTACCATTTCTTCATATAGGCAAAAGCTAATTAGCTTTTTCACCTCACAGCTAAGGTATTGTGAATGTCCATATTGTTTTTTTGTAACTTTGGCAACACACTCTTTCTTTGTCTCCTTATTTTTCTTTCTTAGCATATAACTTCAAGTATAAAAATGTAGTTATTACAAAAAGGATAAAAGATGATCTTGTAAGGAGATCTTTTAATATCATGCTAAAGGTTTCAACTTAAGTAAAATCAGTGCAGGGTCATTTTATTTAATTTTGTTCACATTCATTATTTAAAATACATGTGTATGTATCTCTCTGTGTATATTTGGGTCTATTGAAGGTTTTTAAAAATAGTTCAGTTTTAGGAAAATACCTTTAGAATATAGGGTTTTATAGACTTGGGGTTTTGACTTCTCTTAATGCCTTTCAATGATGTTTTATCTCCTTCCCCCCAGAGGTCCAAGGAAGAATTTGGTGGATGGTCCTGAATACCTCATGTTTGTTTGCATAATTATGTTGGTGAAGTTTCTGAATTTGACCAGTCTCAGGATTAGGCCATACTTAGAGATAGATGTTTAATGTATTTTTCTTCCTTGAACATTTGCCCGAAGCCTTTTGAAGCACTCTCCTTGTGAAAGCTGTTGTCCAGCCTTGTCTCCTCTCTCCCGACAGCCAGGACAGAGTGACCTGGAGGAGTGCAGATGAGCTCCCTTGGCTTTTGCAGCAGCAGGGAAGTAAACAGAAGCTGCATGGTTGCCTCCTCAACCTCTTCGTGTCTCAGAACCTTTACAAAAGGTGAGAAGCTTCTAGAACATCTCTCCCAGAAGGATAGATTTAAACAGCCCTTCCATTTAAAAAAGAAAAAAAAGGCATTTTTAATTTAAAAATCAGTCTGTGGACTGGGGAGGTGGCTCAGTGCTAGAGTGCTTGCCTGGCATGCACAAGGCTCTGGGTTCCATCCCTAGCACCACAAATCAGTCAATAAAAATCAGTCCAGTTTCAGTGGTACCTGAAAAACAAATAGCATGGGAGAAAATTTGAGACAGTTTGCAGATTGCTGTGAGATCTGCTTTCTTTGGGAGGGAAACACTTTAGTATGGCTGCTTTGGAAAATCAAATCTGGAAGGATCATGGGACAATTTTGTATCTTATTCTTAATATTATTTACATCACCCAGAGAAGTCAATCAAGATGTGTCCTTCTCAGGCCCTTCAGGTATCTCAAAGGTGTGGCCTTCAAACCAGACCTGGCCCCAACTCACATCTAACTTGTGTTGAATTTATTCATAAGTGTATCCTGCTTGTTTCTTTTGATATGTTTGAGTTGGTCAGTGGCATAACTACCTTTTTATGAGCCAGAGTTCTGACTTATAAGCCTCAGGAAGGTTTTTCTACCTCACTTAGAAATGTAAACATTTTCATAAAATAGCATAATTTGTTTTGCTCCTAAGTGAGCTCTCTTAAATTGCTTTGTTGATCTGCATGCCCACTTCTCAAAGTTCCCTTGAAATCAGATTCATTCCTTAGCTCTCCAGCTCTTCCATTCTTCTGAATATCTGCTGTTAGGGTCTGTAAACGAGTCAAGATGGCGCCTGGCATTTTGCCAGAGGGAGTGGTTTGTGAAGTAACGCCAGGGAGCCATTAAGTGTGGAGATTCCTTATTGGTTGACTGCTGTATCTAGTTTATGTTAATTAAGATAAGCTGTGTGTAATGTATATATACCCCTCCTGTCCTACAATAAACGGCTCCCACTCCTGCTGTATCAATGTACACAAGTTCCTTGTCACCCCCCCACCCCCCCACCCCCGGTTATTTTGCTGCAGCCGGACTACGGCAATCTGCAAATGAATAAGATTATATTTATTACTCAGTAGCTTGTCAAAAATACAAAGTGGATACTCTGTGGCAGTTTGCTTAATGGTTTTGTTAGTTTCTTCTGTTCCAATTTTCATCATTTAAAATAATTTTTGGAGTGAATTCAGTTAACTGCATAACATAAAATGTCTAAAAGAAATCCAAATGAATTTCCCTTGTGAGTAACCATGATGAATTCATGATGACAGCCAACACCATAGAGTGCCAGTCATGTCCTTAGGGCAACAGCCAGGGCAGATAATGAGAGAATGGGACGTGAGAGGTCAGCTAGCCTGCTCAAGAGCACACACCTGCGGACAGATCTGACCTCACTACACTGTGCTTGTGAATTGTCAGAAGTGTGGCATGAATTCTGGTATTTTCACTCTAGAGGGGACTTTTAAGGTTGCTTTTTCATTAAATCCCTGTTATTTGTTGGAACAGAGGACATTTTGCTGAGTTGCTGAGTTACTGGCAGTTTGTTGGCAAAGACAAAAGCGCAATGGCAACAGAATACTTTGACTCCTTAAAGCAATATGAGAAAAACTGCGAAGGAGAGGAGAACATGATTTGCCTTGCAGATCTCTATGAAACCCTGGGGCGATTTCTCAAGGATCTTGGCCTTCTCAGTCAGGTAACCTCCCCAGGAAGTCAGACGTGGGCAGTTTTCATGTTCACTCTCTCCTTCCGAGGAGGTGAAGCAGTTTTCCCTGTGGGGCTGAGCTCTTTAATGTTGAATCAGGTGACAGCTCTGTCTGGCAGCCTTTCCCTCACCAACATGAGCCTCTCACCTTTCTCCCCAGGCTGTGGTGCCTTTGCAGAGGTCTCTGGAAATTCGAGAGACAGCTTTAGACCCGGATCACCCAAGAGTAGCCCAGTCCCTCCACCAACTGGCAAGTGTGTACGTGCAATGGAAGAAGTTCGGCAATGCAGAGCAACTGTATAAACAGGCTTTGGAAATCTCAGAAAATGCTTATGGTGCAGATCATCCTCACACTGCTCGTGAACTGGAGGCACTTGCAACTTTGTACCAGAAGCAAAACAAGTAAGATGTAGTTCTCTGATGTCATAAAGAGAACTACAGTGTTTTAATGTACTTACGTGGTCTGCTTTGCTGTGTACATTTCCTTACCCTGTGTGCGTCATGTCAAATAATATTTCTTGGTCTGGAACATCATGGGGTAGACAGAGAAGCTTAGACTACAGGTTCATCTCTAATTGAAGATGTATGAAGAATAAAGCATGGGTTTTGGAGTCATGATCTTGGGTTCAAATCCTGGATTTAGGCTCTTTGAGTGCATTACTAACTCAAGGGCAGAAACTGTTGACCACAGCCCAAGTCCAGTTTTGTGAATAAGGTTTATTGGAATTGGAATGCAGCCACATTTTTCATTTACGTGTGTTTTTCATTCCTCAGTGGCAGAATTCCTTATTTGCAACAGAGACCAGGGACCCACAAAGCCTAAAACACTATCAAACCCTTTATAGAAAAAGTTTGCAATCCCTGGTATGATAAAGAGGTTTCAGGGCTTGGGGTAGAGCTCAGTGGTAAAGTGCTTGCCTAGGCTATGTGAGGACCATCATTCCATCCCCAGCACTGGGAAAACAAAACAAAGATTTTTAAAAGCTTTCCGTCAGGTGCAGTGGCACAAGCTTGTTATTTCAGCAACTCTAAAGGGTAAGGCAGGAGGATGGCAAGTTCAAGGCCAGCCTCAGCAGCTTAGCAAGTCCCTGTCTCAAAATTTAAATAATAAATAAAAAGGGCTGGAATGTAGTTCAGTGGTAGGGCATCCCAGGGTGCAATTCCCAGAACTGACAAAAAACAAACAAACAAACAAAAACTTTCCTATCAATTAGGCACCCAGAGTGACATCTCTTCATCTATCAGAAATTACTTCTGTTGCTCCATGATATGTGAAACATATTGGAAGTTTTTCTTTTCACTTCTACAAGTAATATTCACGCAAATCTATGTGAATTTTATTTATATTTAACCAAAAAATAGCCTGTGCCGAAAAAGGTGTTATTTGGGCTTTTTATTTAGTTACGTTTCCCTAACTAAATATGACTATCACTAGAATGTTGTTATATTTAATCTCCCAAAAAGGTCTCACACTATCTAAGGAGTGCTTTCGTTTCACTGAAATAGAATACTTTGAGTATACGTCTTTGGACTTACCATACTTTTTTCTTTTTAAAGATATGAACAAGCTGAACATTTTAGGAAAAAATCCTTTAAGATTCGTCAGAAAGCTACAAGGAGGAAAGGCAACTTGGTAATGAGATATTTCTTTACGTTGTGTTTTGAACCAAAGGAAAAGATCTCTGAATATCATAAGTGCATAAACCTCACATTTTAAGAGTTTTAGATTTTTAAAGGGATTTCCAGAAAAGCTCTTAAATTTTTTAAATTTATTTAAATATTACAGCTCAGTAGATTTTTAAAGTGGAAGCTTCAATTGAAGGCTAGACTTTGGAAGTTGAAATTTAAAGCTACTTTGATTCTTTTGCATGATTAAAGAAATTTAATTAACATATTAGATTCAAATGCAAAGGAATTCTTCTCCTTGAGCACACAAAAAATTTTATTTTTTGAGTTGCTAATAAAATCTAAATATGGTGCATTTGTTGTAAAAAGCTATGTGCCTTTTTAAGAACTTGATATTCGAGTGTTTAGCAGAGGGGTTGGTAAATATCTGCAGGTTAGCTCTGTTTTCTGATCTTTTCTGGAGCATTTTGAGATATACTTTCCCAAAATATCTCATAATCATTTTCACAAAATAGTTTTTAATGAATTTGAGACCCGTGATGCCCTGTGGAAATACATGTATTCTCAATAACCACTAGACTACTTCTATGTGCTATTTAAAATAATTGCCAGATAGATTAAAGAGAAAAGGAGGAGAAAGGACTTTTTAGGACCCCAGTGTGTGGTTTCAGAATCAAAGATGGCACTTAGTGATTGTGTCTTAATTTTTTGTGTTTGCCCCAGTATGGATTTGCCCTTCTACGCAGACGGGCCCTACAGTTAGAAGAGCTTACCTTAGGTAAGGACACACCTGATAATGCCCGGACCCTCAATGAACTGGGTGTTCTCTACTATCTTCAAAATAACCTGGAGTAAGTACCATGGTATTAATATTAAAAATATTTTGTCTCTTTGATTCAAAGCTGTTTTGTCTGTCAAGTCCAAAGCTAGGCAAAATTGATAAAACCATGACAGATTTCTTTTATTATGTTAGGTTATGAACATACACACACTTAAAGCTGAATTTTCTTTACTGTGTCACATTGCTTCCAAACTAAAGATTCTGTAGCTTCCTTAGTGCATTTTATATATTTATGAAAAGTGAGTTTGTTTAATATTTGTCATTAGAACTTACAGAATAAACTTGGAACTAATGAAGAACAAATCAAAGAAGGTAGATAGCTGCTAGTTTTATTCATTAGTTTATTTGGACATAAAAAAATTGAATGGCATTTATATTTATAATTTCTGAAAAAAAGTATTTTTTTTACTTCTTTATATGATACAGACATCTAACAAATTTAAAACTTTGGATGCCAAAAAAAATGCAACAAATATTCAACCCATCTCATAGAAGTTTCTTCTATTAACAAATATTTAGGATAATCTCCAAAAAGAAAGAATGAATGCCAAAATATTTTATTTGATGTAGGTCTAATAATTGTACAGATGTAAGAAATTGTTATGGAAATTATTTGTGAGTTTGTCTTTCAGCAGAAGTGACGGGGCAATCATCCAGATATTTTATGAACTTAAACTATCAGGAAGCAAAGGACTGGAAGGGATGGGGAGTAAGAGTGGAGAGGAAGGATTTTTGAGATAAATCCTCCGCCTTAACTTGGATCTAATTAAAAAAAAAAAAAAAAAAAAGATCCAATTTTCCACCTCACTAGGGCTCAGGACTCTGACTTCCAGAGAATAAGCTGTTTAAACCACTTTGGGATTTTGTTCATAGAACCGCTGACCAGTTTCTGAAGCGTTCCTTAGAAATGAGGGAACGAGTTCTAGGACCAGATCACCCAGACTGTGCCCAGTCTCTGAATAATCTGGCAGCTCTGTGCAATGAAAAGAAACAGTATGAAAAAGCAGAAGAGCTTTATGAAAGAGCTTTAGATATTCGGAAACGAGCCTTGGCTCCCGATCACCCTTCTTTGGCGTATACAGTGAAGCACCTTGCAATCTTGTATAAGAAAACAGTAAGTAATCCTTGCCATTCTTACATGTTTTATAATACACTAATGAAGCCACAATTACTATCAGCAAATCATTTTGTCTTCTGGCAGATAGACTATTTTATATGAGTTTTTTTAATTATAATTTTTAATCTATAGAACTGTTTTATACATTTAAAAATATTATTTAATACTTAAGGTACTGATTTGATTTTGTGAAAACATATTCCAAATACAGATCCATTCATTATTCTAAATGAAGCTTAGATTACATTTCAGAAGTTCTAAAATCTCATCTCACCATTACTATCTTTGTTGTATAAAACACCATAAACATAGCAAATCACCCAGCTGTCAGGATGCAGGAAATATCTTGATAGTTGACTAAATAAACATTTTATTTCACTCTTTCTTGACTTTACCTACATCCATAGCCATTCTTTGCCATAGGAGCAAAGTTTGAAATTTTTATATCTGTTCTCCAAAATACCACCAGAGAAGTCTGCTTCTAATGAGTACAGGCAGAGTTACGTAAACTTTAGACTTTGTGGCACCCTGGCTGGTGCTGGTAGCACTGAATAGATGGTTAGTAATAAGGGTACACTGTTGCTATATCTGCCCAACTTTCCAGTAGAAGGAAATAATTAGAAAAATCTGGAAGTGATTTGGTTAGAAGTGAGTTTTTATTCTGATACCATTTCTAAATAAGTTCAGTAAGAAGGTCTACTTAGAATATTTTCTTTCACTATAAACAATGAATAATAATAAATGAGCCTAAAGGGCTTTCCAAATTGTCAGTGGTTTTATATTCAGTCTAATTTTACTTATATATTCTATTAGATTTTTCACTTATCTACAAACTTGACCATTAAAATCAGAGAAAAATTCTTCTGGGACTTTTTTCCTCAGGATTACTGTTTAAAACACAGTTGTATTTGAGGAGAAAGTTCTGATCAGATAGTATTATTGCCTTAATATTTTTGTTAGATGATACTCTTGTTTTTTAGGGGAAACTTGACAAAGCCGTACCTTTGTATGAGTTGGCTGTTGAAATTCGGCAGAAATCCTTTGGCCCAAAGCACCCTAGCGTAGCAACGGCCTTGGTGAACTTAGCAGTTCTTTATTGCCAAATGGTAAGTTCCTACATTTCAACTCTATTAATGAATGCCTTTAAGGTTTAAAATATAGATAAGCATGAACTAATGGCACAGTAAAAGTAAAGAAAATTTAAGGTCATATTTTTCTACTTAATGCTTCCATTTTTAATACTTGAGAAATTATTGAAGTTGGAGTTGTAAGATGGTGCCCTTCAGAGTGTAAAACCCTGAGTGTAGAGTTAGTATAGGCTTATTTTTTAAATTCTGGAGATTCCTACAGTTGTCTGTAGAATATTATCTTTAAGCTTATAGTATCTACCACTAGGTAATAAAGAAACAGGTTTGCATTTATATTGTTAGGTTAAGGTCAAATGGTTACCAGACCAGGTTGAAAACTTATATATATGACTTTCTGTTATACTGCATCTCTCTTTATGATATTAATAAGTTAATCTTTTTACTCATATCTTTTGAAGGATAATTTCATTTTAAAGTGCTTACCAAAATAGATCAACTTAGTGTAAAAAGCATTAAGAGTAATTTCAGAAACCCAGTGTGTTTATGTGTACGTTACTTTTTTTTTTTTTTTTAATAAGAAAAAACACATTGAAGCTTTGCCATTATATGAAAGAGCATTAAAGATTTATGAAGATAGCCTGGGTCGGATGCATCCTCGAGTTGGAGAAACATTAAAAAACTTAGCTGTGCTTAGGTAAGAATCTTCTTCACTTTCCTCAGGTATACCCATTCTTTTAGAATAGCTTTGACTCATCACAGAACAGCACAAAATATTTATTGCTGAATGTTCTTCCTTGGAGACAAGAGGGGTGATTTTTGCTGGTCTATCTCACGAGAAACTAAAGTCATATCCAGAAATGAGAGTGTATCAGAGCAAATTGGATGGTTTACATTTGCTACTAACTGGCAATGGGGAAAAAACAAAAAAATTGCTATCCCTGGAGCTCATTCACTGTTAAGCACACTGAGTTTTGCTTGCTCATTGTGTTATCTCAGGATGCAGATAGGAACTTCCTTGAGCACTTTCACTGAATGTACTACAATATGGTCTTAATGGTGTGAATGAGACACCGAAGCAAATAGTCCACAGAACAGAGAGAATACTGGTCATGAACACTGCAAAAAGGGGAAAAGAAGCAAATGTTCACAGCTTGTTCTCTATCTCAAGGTCACTTAGAATTGTTAGGAGCTTATGTTCTCATTTTTTTTTCTCTCTCAAAGCTACGAAGAAGGAGATTTTGAAAAAGCTGCTGAACTGTACAAAAGGGCCATGGAGATAAAAGAAGCAGAAACATCACTTTTGGGGGGAAAAGCTCCTTCAAGACATTCATCAAGTGGAGACACGTTCAGCTTAAAAACCACTCATTCTCCTAATGTTTTCCTTCCTCAAGGACAAAGGTGACAGCAGCAATTATATTTACATACCTTAGGATAAAATAATTATCATTTGGAACATAAGAATTTAAAACTTTTTAAAAATGTTGGTAAGAAAATTTATTTTTACTACTCTTATGATTTAACTGGTATTTGTCTGGAATTGGACTATATTTGAGTTGTGATTTTGTCTGTTTAAGTTGATTAAAATAATTACTTTTCCTAATGTATGGGATCCATTCTAAGACTATGTGAGGACTGGATTGTGAGTAGATGCGTCTCTGTTCACCGAGAGCTGGTGGGGGAGTCAAGAACTCCAAGATTCTTTTCATCTCTCAAGAGCCACCTGAGCCTTTCCAGCCATTCCTTGTTTTTCAGTAGTGGTCTGGCCTAATCCTCTACCTCAAAGAAAACGAATAAAGGGATCATGTTTATGAAATGTTTGAATTGCCTTCAAATTAATTATAGGAATTCTTGATTGCTGTGTTTTTCTTTTTTATTCTGCTTTTTCCCTTGACAGGCCAATCACCCTGCTTTCTGTGTTCTCCACTTTATGCATTTTTCATGACTGTGTTGTATACATCTGTAGTGTCTGGAGTCCTCTGTGCAATAATAACAGGCTAACTCTTTAGTATTCTTTGATCTTGCCCCAAAGTGGACCTAGCATTCTGTCATCTTTCTTGAACAGCTGAACCTGTCGCATTTACCTCATACTCAAATTCATTTTTATACTAAAAATTAAATATTTTTATAGATTTTGTATATATTGCCACATTTGGATGTTATTTATACCACTTATGTATTTATACTCAGTAAAATCTTCCATCAATTTGTGAGATTCTAATATGTATTAGTTGTAAAGGAAAAATGTAAAAACCATACTTCACTGTTTAAAATAAAAGTGCAATTTACTTTCCAACTCTAGTTTATATAAGAGGGCTACATTTTGTATACTTAAGATTAATACATTGAAAATTTGCTAATAAAAAGACTTGAATGTTTAGTAGTTTGGTCAACTTGAAGCACTTCAGTGATTCTACAAGGGTCTTGGTTAATGTTCTCTAAGGCCTTGCTGCTTATGCTGGGATCCTATTAAGTATTCAGACTCTGCTGCCTTCTAAGTCATAATCTGCATTTCAGCTTGATCCCCAGGTAATTTACATGCATTTAAGTGTGAGAAGCATTGGTAAAACTCTGAGGCCTTAGAGTGGTCATTTGAATAAATTAGGCAGGATCTTAGTAAGCATCCTTATTTCCCTTTTTGGAAGAGGTACAGAGGGAAAAGAAAATAAAATATGACTGTAACATATCATTCACCTTGCTGTGAAAGGTACAAATAATTGAATTCACAAATATGTCAGAAATTAATTTTAAAATTAAGCTACTGGAGCTTAAAATCTGATTTAGTACTATAAGTAATGCATTATAAGTATTATATTACCAGCCTAAAAAAAAATTGCTTTAGGAAATAATGAGACCAGTACTCTGGAAAAACCTTGAAAAAAACTTAATATATATTTATTCTTTGCTTCTCCAAAATTTGAACTTGAAAAACATACAAAAAAATATTAGAAATGTCTATTATTATTCAGTGACTTTATGGTAAAAATTATAATTTTGGCTGAGAATGATCACTTTATGTATTTTAAAAATAATTAAGTTTAAATGTAAAAACTATTTTGATCTATTTATTGTATTACTAACAAGCATATATTTTCATGAGAATGTCTAAGATAAACACAGCTGTAACAGAGATCTTGTGTGTGTGTGCATATGTGTATTTGAGGTTCTCCAATAGGAATATTATATTCACATTAACATATACTTTGACAGCAGAAAAGATAGCTTTCAAACAACTCAATCATAAAACTGAATAGGTAGGAACCAAATTTTGCTATTCATAATTCATTTTCTCATTTTCATTCATCAATGATAATGAAATATGAAAAACAAAACAAAACAAAAAAACATGATCTGAGGAGTCAAAGCTTCCTTAAATATATTCTTAAAAAGTGCAGACCTTTCTGTATTGGATGGGCTAAGTATCCAGGAAGTATTTATAAGAAAACCATAATACATATATTCTCAACTACATAAAAAAAATCTGAGCAGACCATAAATTAATTTTCCATTAATGATGATAATAAAAAATTAAAAAGTGATTGTTAGAGTCTGCTAAAGCAGTTTTGGTACTTCTTTTCTCTCTTTCGCATTAGAATCTCTAGTGTCTTCAAGTCTAACCAAATACTATGAGTTTATTTAATGCAAAATTATGTCATGATCAGTTCCTCATAATTGGCTGCCTACTAACCCAAGTTTTCATGGCACACAGACTGTCAAGAGAGCATTCATTCCAAGTTGCAAGATACCTATTACCATATTTTTTCTGATAAAATAATCCAATAGTTTATGAAAGATATTAGAACCCTCCCAAAAAAATTAAAATAAGATAAATAAAATTTGGTGTAGTCAAGACATCAGCCGTGATGCTGTACCAGTATAAGACCAGATTAAAGGTCTTCAGATGGTCTATATACTTTATCAAATCAAATTTAGTAATTTATAAGTAAGACCTTACCAAATTTGTATACCAGTTTCTGAAGCAGAATTATTGTAGAAAGACCACATTTCATTTTAAAAATCCAAAATATCTTTAGTAACTAGAAGAGCTATTCTATAACTCAATGCACTAATTTTTTTTTTTTTTTAACGGTAAAAGACTCACCAAGGCAACATAAGAAAGTTTTAAGGCTAGAAAAATCATCCTCCTGGGGCTGGGTAGTGGCTCAGTGGCAGAGCGCTTGCCTCCCACATGTGAGGCACTGGGTTCGATCCTCAGCACCACATAAAAAAAAAAAAAAAATGAATAAACGAAATAAAGATATTGCATCCATCTATAACTAAAAAATATTTTTTTTTTAAAAACTATCCTCCTATTTCCTCATTTTACTATAAACATGAAAATCACAGTGTAATTCCAGAATCGCAAAACTAATAAACTGAATATATTTCTGAAATCAGTTTTTAGAACTTTATTTTACAAGTAGGGAATGTACTTTTAACTTTTTACTAACATTTTCCCCCTGTAGATACAACCTGGACATTCATATCTTCAAAAGAACAACTATCAAAATAAGATATTAGCATAGTAACAGCCTACTGGCAATGGTTATACCTGCATGTTGTTTATTGGTCTCCAAACCATTGAGAATTTACTCCAACCAATGCTAAAACTTTGCTATTTGTATGTAACTCCAGAGAAAACCAGTTTATATCAATTTACGATTTAGTAGTCACAATCAGGAAATGAGCCTCCTCCAAGGAAGAAGTATATATTAGTCATTGTGGAGGTAATTTAAAACTCTTCTTTCATATTTACTGGCCAGGACAACCCTTGTCAATATCTCACTACCTTAAGTATCAAATTTAAATGAAATATTTGGAAGTAGCCTATTTGGTAGGTGTAATGTGGATGTCAGTCTAAATTTATGCCTTGTTTTCCAGTAAAGTGCAGAAACTCCAGATATATATGCCACAGATAACAATGATTTCTTTTCCATGGTCAGTGCAGAATAAAATAAAATTTGACTTTCAGTTTCCTGAAAGTACCTTTATCTACTTACCCATGAAGACAGGTTCCACTTACTTGCCTTTGTCTTGTTTTGAGTATATAATTCACAACTTTTAAACTTCTCCAATGATTACATTGCAGCTTGTATTAAATCCAAAAACACTGGAGAGGATAATTTCATTTTATGGGTTAAGTATTTAAAAATCACAGTTGGTCAAGATAGTAATTTTGGGCAATTTTCTTGTTTCTTTGTTTCTTGAACCAAACACAGTGACAGACACTTGCCAGCTCTGATCAATAGGCTGCACCTGTCCTCCTTTTGTTTGTACTACTTTATTGTCTATGTCCTTTTCACAGACCACAAGGGATTACTAGAAAGAAATAAAGACTATAGAATCAGATTGGTCCTTCCCCAACCTTCAAAAGGCCAAGATATTTTGGTGGCTATGCTACAATAGTACTCTGAAGGCAAATCTTTTAGGACAGCTATTAGATTTAGTTAGAAAGAGGAGCAAAGAGCAACAGCTACAGTATTTTAATAAAGTATAACAATTTAGTGAAGATTACAACATCAGTTAATCTTGCCCTAAGTTTTATCAGTTTTGAATTTTTTTAATTTCAAGAGAATAGGCTTATACACAGAAAAAGTAAAATATATGCCAGTCCATAATCTATATATTCTTCATCTTGGCCATGAGGTCTTCCAAGCTTTCTCCAGAATCTTCTACTGTAACTTCAGATACACAGTCGTCTTGCTGTCAACAAATGAGGAAAATATAGTGAAAAAATAGCCTTACTGAATTCTTTATGCTTAGGAATCAGTAAGCTTTAACCCTGCTCAACAAGTTTATTAATTTCCTCTAATAAATATGGCTTGTAATTTTAAAAAATCTTTTTTTTTTTTTTTTGTAGTTTAGATAGAATGCTTTTATTTTTATCTGATGCTAAAGATCAAGCCCAGTGCCTCACACATGCTAGGCAGGCGCTCTGTCACTGAGTTATAGCTCCAACCGATGCCTTGCAATTTTTAGGATAGTCCTTTACTTTCCCCACCAGCATTTGATTTATGAGGCAGTAATTTTCGTATTCTTGATATCTCAAGCATATATTTTAATTGACCTAAAAATTATATTTATTTATGGAGTACCATTTGATGTTTTGATACTTGTATATACTATATATCAGGGTTCGCTTATCTTATCAAACACTTATCATTTCTTTGTGGTAAAAACATTTAAAAAATCATTTCTTTTAGCTTTCTGAAATACAGAGTTCAGTACATTATCTAAGTCATGCTACTGTGAAACAGGATACCAGAACTTATTTCTACTCTCTAACAATAACTCAGTAGCTATTAACCAACTTCCCCTATTTTTTCCCCAACCTCTGATAAGCACTATTTAATTTTCAATATATACATGATCAAGTTTTTAAGATTCTACATGAGTGACACAGCTGTCATTCTGTGCCTGGTTTATTTCTCTAAACATAATGACCCCTAGTTCTATCCATGTTGTCACAAATAACAAAATATCCTTTTATGACTGAATAGTGTTCCACAGTACATATACCCCTTACTTTTCTTTATCCATTAATCAGTCAATAAACACTTAACTGGAGTTCATTTCTTAACTACTGTCAACAATGCTGCAATAAATACGGAGGTATAGATGTCTCTTCAACATAAGATTACATTTCTTTAGATATACACCCAGTAGTGAAACAGCTGTTCCACAAACATTCAATTTTTAAAACTGTTCTACTTTTAATTTTTGAGGAACTTCATGCCATTTTCCATAATGCATCTACTAATCTATATCTCCACCAATAGTAAAGGTTCTATTTTCTGCACATCCTTTTGAGCATGTGTTATCTTTTTGATAACAGCCATTCTAACTGGAATGAGGTGATATGATAACCTCATTGTGGTTTTGATTTGCATTACCCTGATGTTTAATGATGTTGAGCAGTTTTTCATATTTATATTGGCCATTTGAATGTCTTCTTTTTTTAAAAAAAATATTTATTTATTTATTTTAGTTTTTGGCGGACACAACATCTTTGTTTGTATGTGGTGTTGAGGATCGAACCCGGGCCGCACGCATGCCAGGCAAGCGCGCTACTGCTTGAGCCACATCCCCAGCCCCTGAATGTCTTCTTTAGAGAAATGTACTTAGACTGTCTACTGAAGTATTTTTAAATGGTATTGTGGCTAAATCATATTTTCATTTAATCAAAATCTATTATGCATGACCTATTAATGAGTGAACGAAACCATTTTATGTCAGTGTTTTCAAAGTTTAACATAGACTGTACACAACTCCATTTTAACACTAAATACTTCTTTCTCACATCTTAATGCCTATGGTGTAAAATACCCAAAACAGGAATTAGTATATTGGCATTACTAAATAGAATAAAGATAAAAGAAGATATGTATACATTTTATCTTATATTTACTTATGGATAAATCAGATTTTTAAAGTACCTTTTTTGGAATTGTATATGCCACTGTAATTCCTTCAGGTAAGTCAGGAACTGGACCTGAAGAATTTTTCAATTCTTCTTCTGAAACCTCAGATACCAGCTCAATACCTGTTGAATTAAAATAGATTCTGCAACAGTTCTGAAGAAACTTCATGAGCAATAATTATTCAAAATGTGTGTAACCTTGTATTCTCTACCACAGAAGATTTTGTTGGATGTATGTCTTCAATTTATAAAAGAATTCCTACCCCACTCATTATCCTCATGTATTATCTCTTCCTCTTCTTGAACAGTCTCCGGTTTGGGCAATAATGCTACCTTTTTCTGTAGAAATCAAATAATACCAGTGTTTTCAATCATTATCAGCTCTCTGAAGCATTAATCAAGAATTCAGACAGGGTTTTATGGTATCACAAACAAGAAAGGATCTTTATTTTTAATAAATATGATGAATAAGTTAAAATTATAAAATTAAAACTATAAAACTCCAGAATCCAAATCTGTTCCTTTTGTTTGACTGTTTAAGTTACTATTCTATGCAATAAGATCCCTCAGACATTCTGACAGATTTGACATATACCTTGTATTCTTCCTGCTGCTTCCTGCAATTTTTATCATCACATTGAGGATTTGGCTTCATGGACATAGTAGGAAAAAAATCTTGCATTGCATTGTATCCAAGGTAAAAACTAACAGTACCAAAATTTAATAGAAACCTAGAAAAACAAAATAGACTTAAAGGAAGAAAAACCCATAAAAAGTACTAAAAGAAAGTAAGTGAATTTTTTAGAAATTATTTTGGAGTTCGTAATGATTTTTCCAACATGCAACTCAGAAACAGAAATTTTCTATCTTGTTGACAGAGCCTACTTCGTAAGTAGATGCTTGAATATTTGCTGAATTAATGAAGGAAAGAAAAGATTACTCCATTTCATCACCTAAAGAATGCATTATTAGTTTTTGAACCTCTACTAAAAATAAAATGTGTGCGAGGCCAACCTTACTCGTGACTGAGTTACACTCCCCGCTGGGTGCTGAGGCTCAGTCACAGAAATGTGGCACCCTTCTTGGGTGCGAGGGTCGGTGTCTCATGCATGGGTGTGTCTTGCTACAGCCCCATGGGTGAAGCTATGCTCACCTGTTCCTTTGTAATATAACCCCTTGCCTTGTTTAGGATAGAATCTTCCATGGAAGTGCCTGTGTGTGTCCCCTTCTCTTACTGTGCCCTTGAGTGTGGCCTACCCAGGTGTCAGTCAACCTGCTGACAGTGGACATCATGAAGATAGACTCAGCCCCCTGAAACCTGACCCCTTGCGTCATTTGAATAGCTTCTCCTCTCTCTCTCTCTTTCTGCGGACCCTTAAGGTCAGAGGAGCCGTCACAGCGACCCGAAGAAAAAGGTATTTGTGTCTCTTGTGTGGTTATTTTGTGAAGCCCAGTTAGCCCAGTTTAACTGGAGTGACCCCTGAGCCTTTTAGTCGCGAGAACAGAAACCCGGCAAAAATGCTGGCATTTTATATAGTTTTTAAACTTTAAGACACATACTGATTTCAGAGATAGTAAAATGTGAGAGAAGTGTTTTTTAAAATCTTGAGACATGGTATTAAATATAATTAGTTAAAATTTGTATATAGTTTACTGTGAAGTACACAATTGTGAATGTATAGTAAATAAAATATTTTATATCTTCATGTAAATACTACCAGATCAAGATACAGAATATTTCCAATAACCCATAAAGTTCTTTTCTGTTCCCCTGCCCATCAAATGTGATTCCCTTTAAAATCTTCTGTATAGAAGAAAAATCATGTATAAAACAAAAGGAAAAATATTTGCAAATGCATGTTTTCAATATACAACAAAACAAAAAACAGGGTAAAGGATATTAAAGATAACTCACAGAAACGTATGTGCCTAACCCTTTTTTAAACAAATGAATGAAAATTAAAATGAAATATGCATTTTTTGCTTATCAGAGTAATGGACATTCATACACACACACATTAATGTTATGTTAATGTATTCAAATTAATGTAAATATACATGGATTAAAAGTACACATATACATATATAAAATAAAAATATATTTAAAATTAAATTTTTAAAAATTAAATACTTGGCTGATAATTTCAATTTTTGAAATCTTAACAAAATATATTTATCAAAAGCATATAAAACTATTCAAAAAAATTAGCCCTCACTTACTTTAACACATTTTGTACCAAGATCCCCGCCACCACTCCCATAGTGGTAGGAAGACTGGCCGCACAAACGCCTTCTCGTTTAAGAGTCTTTTCATCAATATTTGCAGCAACTACAAGTGGTGGTGCACACTGCATGAAAAAGGAAAAAAGGCAAACAATTTTAAAAGAAAGAAGGAAAAATATGAATGTTTCAAACAGCATTCCATTACATTCAAGTTTGTTTTTTCTTTGAATTATAACACATTTTCAATTCCCCTAAGGACTCTAGTGCCTAACAATGTAAAAAGATCTAAGACAAATAATGCATACCGCAAAACAAGCAGATTCTCCAGGAATTATAAGCTGTATATGCCCCGAAACTGCATTTTCACTGACCCCAGATTCCATCCATGTTTGTCTAAGTTCATTACAGGCCTTAAATAGAAATAAATGAAAACAAGGAAGAAAACAAAGAAGCAAGTAGTTTACTATAAATTCTTGTTGTGAAATGTTATAGCTTACTCAATGAATCACCAAGGGTTTCTAAAAATTAATTTTCAAGAAAAAAAGGAGTGAAGCTGCAAATAATTGAATTCCTTGGCAATTACCATTTTTATTTAAAGAATAAACTATCAGTATTAAAGAATTGATAAATACCAATTTATTAACTGAAACCACAGTTTATTAGGTATCTTGCCAGGTTAATATAAAAATTTATATTAATTTCAAAAATAAAATATCTAAAATATTAATTGAAAAGTTAAAAGTCCTTGCTTCTGATAAGCATGAGAGAGTGGGATGCTTGAAATGTCTGTCATGCCCAACAAAGCGAGACACTTCCCACAACTATTATAAATTTTAAAAGTAGACAAAGAGAACATTACAAATAAGCACAAAAAAGGGCTCAAAAATCACAATTATTTTTGAGATGGGGATGGTATACTAATCATACACTAGGGATCATAAAAGAATATAGATAAATCCATGAGTATTACATCTTACATAATAGAAAAACTCACTGTATTTATTGCCATCCGAGCTTCAAAATTGTCCACACAGCTAAGAACTAGATCAACAGGATTTCCTTCTTCTAACCCACCATTACTAGTCAAGGAAAACAAATTTTATTTGAAAAAATATCAAGATAGAAAATATATTCTAATTAGACTTTATTGTTCAGTTTTCTTCTTTCATTAAATTTTTGAGTATAACATCAATAAGTATTTAATATTAAATATCCTGTATATATGAAACATTAAATAACTATTTGAATATAAAATCAATGATACCATTGTGGTAAAAGGATGAAGGAAATATGAAATCTGTTCACAACTGTTTCCATATTAGCTTTTAAAATCTTGTTCATGCTTCACTAAAATATCAATGTAATAAAAACTAATTGAATACAATTCATTATTTTGGAGGTATTCTGACAGTCTCTGAAGAAAACTATTTCAGAGAGAAGTATAATCTAGAACACAAAATTTAAATTGAGGGTCCTTTATTAAATCATTGTAAATATCAGAGTATTTTGTTTATTTATTTATTTGTTTATTTTTGGTACCAGGGATTGAACCCAGGAGTACTTAATCCTGGAGCCACATCCCCACCACTTTTTATTTTTTATTTTGAGACAGGGTCTCGCTAAGTTGCTTAGGGTCACACTACATTGCTGAGGCTGGCCTCAAACTTGCAATCCTCCTGCCGTTTAATATATAAAAATTACTATTTTAATAAACACAAAAACATATTAATCTGCCAATTTTCTAAATTAATCAATGGATTTGTCTAATACTTGCTTAACTGGGCTGGGCATTTTTTACAAAACACTCATAAATAAAATGTTACCTTATTCTATCCATGAAATGTTGAAAGTTTTCCATTGTGGTTATATTATAGTTATGTACTTCAAAAAGAACATCAGGATTAATGTTCCTAAGAGGAAAAAAGGGAATGATTATAAAGACTATTAGTAGCTACACTAAGAAAACACAGAAAGAGCTAAAGAGTAAGTTAGAAAATTGGAATTCAAGCTATTCAGAGAAAATCCAAAGTCCTCTTCTACCTTTTTTTTTTTTTAATTCTCACCCCAACCTGGATCAATCTATGTGCTGGGAATTATATCTTTACTACTTCTGGTAGCTACAGCTCAGCCTAACAAAATAGCTTATTTGTCACATATTCAATTTGGTATAGGGGTTCACACACTATGTCCCATTGGTCAAATCTGTTGTACCACCTGTTTTTGTACAGCCTTCAAGTTAAGAACAATTTTTAAACATTTGAGAAAAAAGTCAAAGGAATAACACCTAATGACATGAAAATGATGAAATTCAAAGTCCAGAGTCCAAAAATGAAGTTTTATTGGAGCACAGATATGCCTATTCACCTTTGTGTTATCTGTGGCTTTTATCAGACTACAACTCCATAGTTCAGCAGTTGCAGAGACCATAAGGACCTCAAAGACTAAAATATGTACCATCTATCCACATATAGAAAAAATTCGTCAACCCAAGTCCAAGAGTAAGTAAAAATCTGCATTTGTATAGAGAATAATTTAGGACTATGTATTAGGTTAACTCATACCAAATTTATAAAATAAGATTTCACTGAATATAGTCCTTAACTGTAATTCCATTTACCTTAAAGTATGTTCTGCTGCTTGAACTTTACTCAGTCCTGCTTGATGAGGCTGGAAGAAAAGTCTGTTCATATTGGCCAGTTCTACTTTGTCATAGTCAAAGAGGAGTAACTAAAATAAAAATTTATTCCAATGAAAAACATTCCAAAAAACTAAAATTAACAAATAGCAAACTAGTGGACCTACATTTGATTGCTTTAAGAGTCTGATGATGACATTAGTTAACTAAGACATTAGGTGCCATATGTGAATTCACTGAACACTTATGTGAGCTGAATACACAGGTACTATTATCCTCATCTTAAAGATGAGGCAACTAGAGCATTTGCCCAAAGGCTGAAAATCTTCATTTCTAACAAGCTCCCAGGTGATGCTGAGGCTACTACTTAGGACCAGACTTAGAGTACTAGCAAGACTCCAGCAATTCTCAAAGTTTAGTTAGTCCCTTGAACATCATTAGGATCACCTGAGAAGGTGTTAAAATGACAATGTACCTCATACCAACAGAATCAGAACCACTGATACAGGGTCTAGCAGTCTGTGTTTTCATAAGCTTTTCAAGTGCTTCTGATAACAAACTTGTGAACCACGGATCTCTCCCATTGATCTCTAATATCTTCACCAAACATGTTTTAAGTCGGCTATAAGAAATTTTTGGCCTGCCTTTGTAAACCTCTTAAAAGATATCAAAATTTTGATGGTGTTTTTGTATTGATGAATGAGTACCAAATCTGAAACCGCTTTAAGAATTTGAGGTACACCAACACATTACAAAGTATTGATAAACTATATGGGAAAATGTTTGCCTTATCAAAATGAAAAACTAAACGGTTTTCCACAATTATACAACTGTGGAAAGCTTATCTATTCAATTACTATGTATCTAACATCATAGACCTTGGTTTTATAAATCAAAGACTGATGGACTGAATTCTGGTATAAGTTTACTTTTCTTTCCTACACATAATCCAAATAAATATTTAAAACAAAATTTTAAAAATATGGATTAAAAAAAATCTGAACATTTTCTAGTACAAATTCAAGAGTAAGAAATACACAGAATAGAGAGCCTATTTGTCATTTAAATTATGTTTAATAAAATAATTTATATATGTTTCAGTGTTTCACTCATACTTTATCAATTTAATAGTCTCCTTTCCTAAATATCTATATCTAAAACACCTAAATCCAAATTGTTTATGTAATACCCCAAACAAAAAAGTTCCTGTAACAGTCCTTGTGTAATTATCAATAATATCAGTTTTTGTTTGGACAGGGATATATCTCAATATTTTGGATGGAAAGAACAATCTGAATAAATACACAACAAATGAGTAGACCATTAGTAGCAAGGAAAAAAGTCCTAACTTGTACCTGATTTGCTCCAAGAATGAGGAATTCCCTATGAGACAGGCAAAGAGAAATATTTTTACCTTACCAATGCCACATCTTGTCAGCATTTCAGCCGTCACACTACCAACTCCACCAACACCTACTATTGCTACAGCAAAGGTACGGATTTTCTGTGAAATGCAAAATTACATATGTTCTGGTTAAGAGTTCTTCATTTAATTTGTCACCAGAAATTATTTTCATTTCCTGAAATTGTCTTCAAAAACTTGGAAAGGGTTATCATACCTCATAGTCGCTTACAATTCCCATTCGCTTCAAGGCCATCAGGCGGCTTAAACAAAGAAAAGAAAATGTTTTAGAGCTACAATTGATAAGTTAACAGTGATATAAACAGGCATACATCATTACATAAAATAAACACTGAAATTCAATCATTACTCCTCTTTTAAAATAAGAGGAATCTTTCAGTTGCTTTTTCCCAGGTGGAACTAAATTACTTAGTAGCTTTAAATACAGACACTCATGTACCCTTCTCCTGGTGTAGCCTGTGAAATAATATATATGTATTTAAAAGCTACTTCTCTGTTCTAATGTGCAGCTGAGATCAATACCTGCCCAGTTATTAGTAGAAATCCTCTATTTTACTCTCTTCAATAAATAAATCTCCAATCTCTTCTCCTGGTGGGGAAGGGGCATTAGCTCAGCTACCCCCAGTGGAGTAAGGGTCCTTGGGTTCTGTTTTTTCAAAAGACTTTCTAGAAATACCTGTACCCGTTTCTGAGCCTCTTGGGGCGATTGTGCGGTGTAAGTTGGGATGCAGATTTAAGATTCAACTTCTTAGAATCTGTTAAATCAGTCATCCTTCATCCATCAAAGTTTCCAAAATTATGTCACTATAATCTTCAAGTATAAGAACCCACTCCTCTCTCCCCAATTATTAATGGAAACCTTCTATTTTCTGAATGTGGGATTACCTTTTTTTTTTTTTAATTTTTTACTGTTTGTTTAGTGGGAGTGGGCAGAAGTGAACGTCAGTTCCTGTGGTCTGCCATCTTTATCTTCATGCTCTCTTTAATTTTACAAATAATCTCTGAGAAAAATGCATTGCACCTCCCTGATCTGGACCCCAGACCAAGAAAAAAATTAGGATAATTAAGACCAAAAAAAAAAAAATTAGAATAATTTACTGCCCACAGTCAGCTAACTGGCAAACAATATTTAGAGCTGAGTTTCTGAACTTGAGTTTGAAACTAGGTGTTCTAATCAACACTTCTGCTTGCCTCTCCAGTTTCTCCATGTGCTTATAATCATATTCTATACCATATGGGGATATAGCTCAGTTGGTAGAGTGCCCGCCTCCCTCACATACACAAGGCCTTGGATTAAATCCCCAGCACCACAAAAAAAAAAAAAGACACACATTTCTTTGCATTTTATCTTCGAGGGAAAATTTCCAAGTGTTCATTTGTAAAATTCAAACTTACTGAAATATGACAAATGGAATAGTTTGCACTCATTCTGATTAGAGATAACAGTTTCATGCTTATTCAATCTCTAAAGATTTTGGAACATTAACCCTTAATATTTACCAATACAGTTAAAACAGTGCACCTTAAAACTGCCACTGAGGCTTTATAATGTCACAAACAACAACAACAAAAATCCTCATGTTCTTTAAAGGAAAAAAAAAATAACAAGAGCTCTTCTCTATTTCACGTTAAGACGACCCAGTTTTTAGCCACACTACTTAATGGCTTATTTATTTTTACAGGGAAGATAGTTTCATGTGAATTTTGGATTAAGTGAAACCTAATGCCAGTTCAGGCTTTGGGCATTATTATTTTTTTTTTGGGGGGGGGGGGGGCTTCAGGAATGTGCTATACCACTGAGGTTACAGCCCCAGCCCCAGTTCAGGCCTTATACTATATATAAAAACTTGAGAGCCCTCTAAGCCTCGATTCTCTCATCTATAAAATGGGGGTAAAACCCATTAGCGCGGCTGTATAGTTCTTACCCTTAACCACTGCACTGAACTGACAAGCTTCCCGAGGAAGGGAGAGGAACAGCAGGTCTTGTAAAGCAGAAAGGCCTGAGATACCCTTGGAACTCCTTCACCCTTCTCCATCTAAATTTCATTGCAAAGCCTTTATGAATCTCCAAGTTTAGGCTAGGCGGGCTTTACGCTTGATGTCTTCTGAATGTTCTTAATCCTAACCAAGGTGAGGAGGAGTAATTAGAGGCAAGAGCTACAGGAAGCCGAATGCACGCCCGCCGCGAGAGCAGGAGCAGTACCATATGGAAGGCTCGCTTGGGTTTTTAAAACCGAGAAACAACGTCTTCCGACCATCCCTAAACAGTGCCCTTGCGTGTCTGGGAACGGGACCCCAGACCAGGAAAAGGGTGGCGGGAGGCCGAGCTAGCGGGATGGGGCGCCCTTCTCACCCCACCGAGATGGGGACCTCGCCCTCCTCCGACTCGCGACGCAGTCACCTGTAGGGATTGGAATCCACCACCTCTGAGCTCATCTTCTCAATGCGGGCCCGGCCGCCCGCTCCGTCGCCGTCACCCAGGGCCCGCCGACTTCTCTCCTGGGCAAGTTCCCGCTCCAGTTCCAGTACCCGCTGCTGCAGCCGCTCCACGGACAAGGCCATGGCTGGGACCCCCGCGGCCAAACCTCCCAGCCCCGGCCTTCGCCGCCGCCGCCGCCCCACGCTGCTCGGCTGGGCAACTTGCCGTCACCGTCCACGCCCACAGACCTAGCGCGGGGCCCCCAGCGCTTCCAAGACCGACACGTCTCTGCGGCTCCCGAAGACCTTCCAAGGTACCGCTTCCGGTGCGTCGCTCTCATCGCTCCCCTCAGCAAAAACTCGCCTCTTTTGAGTTCTTTCTTCGCTACATCTGCTGTAACAAGCTGCCGCAGGACTGGGGTTATAAGTACCTAGAGCAAGAGGACGGCGACGTTGCCTTTTAACTAAGTGGCTAGGAGAAAACACCCGGATCTTTTATTTCTGGGCTCGAGGACCTGACGGTCTCTTTTCTGAACCGGACCCTAGAGGTCTTCCGCACGCAGGTGCAGTAAATCGGCTGGGAGCGACTCCTACATCCTTGTTCGCTCGCACCTGTAACTACGGTTTTACTTTCTTTAAAACCGAGCCCTTCCAACGCTGGCACTGACAGGAATTTTAAAATTCGAGCACACATGGGTGCTTTCGGTATTTCTCAAGTCGCCAGATTCAGCGGGCCGGCCTAGCGCCGTAATGGAGCCCTAATGTGTGTGATTGGCTAGAGCCAGGCCCCACCCGGCCTCGCCCCCAAGTCCTGAAGTATAGTTGCTGCAACCTGTGGGGAACCTTGGCACTCCAGAACCTGTCCGGGCCTGGTCTGTGGCTTGCAGCTCGGCGACAGTCATGGGGACGGATGCTGCCCACGAGCCCGAGACCGCAGAAGTGCTGCCCCAGCACCAGTTAGACTGCAAGTCCTTGGATGCTTACCTAAACCGTCATTTACCTGGCTTCGGGGCACAGCCCGGAGCTACGTTGACCATTACTCAGTACAGGTATCTGATGCAGCAGGAACAGATCTGTGCATTGTGCTTTCTTTCCTTTGGCCCTTCCAATTTACCCCATCCCGATTTCTTTTTCTGCAGTGACGCATCCTGCAGGCAGGGACGCATCCTGCAGGCAGGGACTGCTTATTGTCTGTTCCAGAATTCCAATTCGGGCTGGTCCCAATTCGAGGGCAGTACTGGAAGCATCGTAACATTTGCCATAACATTGCCCACTGGAAATTTTGTTCAAGATTGAAATTATGTGACTCAAGGATTTACTCACTGGAAGTACAGTGAGAAATTTAGTTACTTTCTCTGGCCTTTTGTGCCACAACCATAAGACTTTTTTTTTTTTTTTTTTTTTTGAGAAGCCGGTGTAATTACGTTTAATTGGCCATATTTCTTGGGGGCAGAGTTAGGGGTACCACCTGGAGGCTACAACAGCTGCTAATGTCTTCACTTGGCAAGTTATAGCGCCGCTTTGGGCCTTAGTTTCTGAACCCAGGAAATAAAACTTGAAGAGCTGATCCAGAGAATACCGTTTTAAACTTTTTAAAACTTTATTTTAAAATTGTACTTTTAGGGCTGGGGTTGTGGCTCAGTGGTAGAGTGCTAGCCTAGCATGCGTGAGGTATTGGGTTTGATCCCCAGCACCACATAAAAAAACTAAACAAAATAAAGGTATTGTGTTCATCTACAACTTAAAAAAATTTTTTTTAAATTGCATTTTTATAAACAGGGCACTGTAGAAAGACTCCTAAGTTCCAAAAAAAAAACTTGATCTGCCACTTACTACGTGGGAATTTTAAATATATTCCATAACCTTGAGAACAAGTTTTCTTTTGTGACATTTGCCTGTTCTAGTTAGCCTTGGTAATACAATGAAGTAATGTGGGTGAAAGGGTGTAAACTTTGCAATAACACTGGCATTTTATCATTGGTGTTTATATTCTTTGACTATTGATTTCAGTAAAAATGGAAATAAAGAAGATGAATCAGAGAGAGTCTGGGGTATAAAAACTTAAAACCCCATGTCTTAATAGACATTGGGAAATAAAAGAGAGGTGGAATAAAGAATAGCTGTAGTCTCTGGCCTAGAAGATTTATGATGTAAACAAACTAAAGTGGGTCAAAGTTCAATTACTATTGGTCACAAGAATTTGAATCAATTGCCCTTTGAACACCAAGTCCTGTTTTGACTAAAAGGAATAATAATATTCACCTAGGATTGTAGAGTACTAATTCTGAATTAAATTGAATCTTAAACCATAATCATACTTATTAACTAAAATTAATTGTGGTATAGAAATTACTTTGGAACTTGATTTTATACATACGAATGGAACTGGATCCCACACCAGATGAACACATGAAAAATTTTATAACAGTTAAAGACACATTAAGCCACAATGGAAACCTCAATAATTCTGAAGTATCTTTTTTTGAAGAAAAAAAAAAAAACATTTTTAGAAAATAAGTGCCAAAACTTTAACGGAAAAAAAACAGCTAACAAATACATATTTAGAAACATTCATGGATTAAAGAAGTAATAATCTACACAGATAATAGTTATGAAAGTTCAGTAAACAAATGCATTGTGTTTCTGTACTTTACCAACAGTTAAAAAGGAATTGTCAAAAAGCTATGATTAATAAGAGCATCAAAAATATAAATTACCAGCCAGGCATTGTGGCACACTCCTGTAACCCCTGCTATTTGGAAGGCTAAGGCAGGAGGATTATAAGTTTAAGGCCAGCCTCAATAATTTAGGCCTTATCTCAAAAATAAAAAAGGACTGGGGAGGGTTGGGGATATAGCTCAATTGGTGGAGTGCTTGCCTTGCCATGGGTTCAATCCCCATCACCACACACACACATAAATATCTAGGGTTGTAACTAAGTGGCAGACCACATGGGATTCAATCTTGAGTGTGTGTGTTAATGTATGAATTTTAATATTGGGTTATATATTAATATTAATACTAATGTATTAATATTCATCCTAGTAAAACTATGCAGTACCTTTGTTGAGAAAATGTTTATTGGGATTTTTTTAATGTGTAAAAAGAATTTTTAAAATTAAGAGATGTCTGTACATGATTAGAAAAATATAATACTGTAAACTTTTCTTTTTTAAAATTCTAATTTTTTTCTCTAAGTTGAAAGATTGATCCTAAATTTTGTGTGCAAGAGCATAAGGTCAACAATCACAGAAACACTTCTAAAGAACAACAAAACAGAAATTTGAATAAGATAGCATGGTATTAATGGAGCTGGATAAACAGACCAATGAATTTGAGATTTCACAAAAATACTTAATATTTATAGAACTTTGATATATGACAGTGCTGGCATTGAGAACTAGTGTGGAGGGAGACTTTTTAACGAAATTATACTGGGACAATTATAGTTATTATCCATATGAAAAAGTTAAAACTAGACTCCTTATTCTACTTCACACACTCCAAGTGGACAGTGTACTTGGTTGTTAAAGACAAAACTAAATATTTAGAATACATGACCTTTTAAACCTTTGAATTAGAGAAGAAATTCTTTAAAAAAAAACAACATAGGGGAGCGAGAATGTGAGGAAAAAGGTACACCCATACAGTGCTGGTGGGAATTACAAATTGGTGTAACCATTATGGAAAACAGTATGGAGCTTCCTCAGAAAACTTGGAATGGGACCACCATTTGACCCAGCTATACCACTTCCCCATTTGTACCCCAAAGACTTAAAATCAACATATTACAGTGATACAGCCATATCAATGTTTATAGCAGCTCAACACACAACAGCTGAACTATGGAGCCAACCTAGGTACCTTTCCACAGATGAATAGGTAAATAAAATGTGATATATATATATATATATATATATATATATATATATATATATGATGGAAAATTACTCAACCTTAAAGAAGAATGAAATTATTGCAGTAAATGGATGGAGTTGGAGAATATCATACTAAGCAAAATAAGCCAATCTCAAAAAACAAAGATTGAACGTTTTCTCTGATATGTGAATGGCTAATTCACAATAAGTGGGGAGGCTAGGGAAGAATAGAGTTGCTTTAGATTAGGTAGAGGGGAGTGAAGGAAGGGAGGGGGCATAAGGATAGGAAGGATAGAAGAATGAATCAGATTTTATTACCCTTTGTATATATAAAACTATATGACTGGTGAGATCCCACATCATGTACAACCAAAAGAATGAGAAATTATACTCCATTCACTACACAGTTTGTAATAGCAAAAATCCAGGACCCAAGAAGTTTATTGGTAGTAAAATAGATGGATACATTGTACTATAATGATATAATGGAATACCATACAGCAGTGAAAATGAGTCAGCTGTAGCTGTACACAACACTGAATAAAAATCATGGACAAATAAAAGTACATTTAGCAAATTGTTTAATTAAATAAACTTCAAAAGAAGGGTAAATATAAAATTCAGGACAGTAGTTATTCTAAAGAGGAAGGATTTACAGAGGGTTTCAAAGACATGATAATTTTCTCAAGGTAGTGAGAACATTGGTGTTTGTGGTATTATTCCTTATTATGGGTAATGCTAGTGTGGTGCGGATTGCATTGTACATTCAGTGCTATGTACCTTATCCTGCTGTTTGTCTTTATGTGGTGACTCTGGTTCATTCTTGCTATATTTCCCTCACTGGAATCACTGTCTGATCCACCTTCAACCATGGCAGACTGCTTGTCTATGGGAAAAGCTCCTTTCCTTTGGGGTGAGAGAGTGAAAAATGCTTCTTGCCAGTTTCTTGTTTCCAGGTATCCCAGAATAACCTCAAATGCATGATTAACTGCCAAAACTTTTCTTCACAAAATTTTGAAGGGGGAGCCATACCTGATCACTTCCAAATTCTGATGCTTGTTTATATGTGAATCCCTTATGATGATTGTGATCCACTAATGCGCCAATCACCTATGTCTTTGATTCATCTAATTCCTTTAGTATATTGGGTGAATCTGAAAATTGGGTTCTTTTTATTATGAGTTCATTATAATGCTCTGGTTGATGTAGATATCCTTCCAGTTGACCTGTCCTTTGTCATTTACATCCATGTTCTTTTTCAGTTGGCCTTCATGGCTTGTCAGGTAAAACTGCACAGGATGCAGTGCTCATTGGTTTTCTGCATAGCATTGTTGGATATGCTCATGAAGTTTCTTAATGTCCTTTCATGCCATTAAATCAGAACTGTAGTTCTGAACTACAGTTGATGATAAGGCGGAGTGTACTATGAACAGCATGTCTTCCAACATGTTTTCTGTCATTTCCATCTGAGTTTGATGTCAGTTGACACTGTTTCTCTAATTTCTTTCTATTGATTTTCTCTAATTTCTTTCTATTGAGTTTTGTTTCTTTCCACTTTTGTTTGAGAAATTCTCATTGTTCTTCCCATTGTTTCTGTATTATTAGCTTCTACATTTTGTCATTTAGATACTGATTCAATCCCTTCATCTGATCTTGGTTTCTCTCTTTCCTAATCTTCACTTAAGTCTTGCTTCTTTTCAACATTAAAAGTCTCAATAAATGCTGGTGACATTTTAAATGACATTATTTGGTGTTTTAAACTGAGGTGATGGAGAATGTGGTAGTTTATTCAGAAAGCCTCTGGTGTGTTCTTGATACCACTGGCAAGTCCTCCTTTGGAAGCTTCCGTGATTTTTTTTTAACAGAATTTCTATTTGTTGTATTGAGAGTTGACTGAGGCAAGGGTGAACACAAGACAGCTGTATTACAGTGTTACAGTAGAGAGAGATTAGTGGCGTGGACTAGCATGGGAGTGTAGAATATGTGAAGAGTGGCCATGGTGAAGGTATATCTTGAAGAATTTACTGATTAGATATGGCATAGGAAAGAAAAAGATAGAGACAGAATTATTCTATTTTTATCATGATAGCTATAAGTATGGGGTTATCATGAACTGAATTAGAGGTGACTGTAATAAAAAATGGATTAGAGGAGGACTGTCAGGAACTCAG